GGAGGAGAATGTGAGTCGTGAATGCGAACTTGTACGCAATCAAGTGCAGGGGTATTGGTGAATACGTCAGCCTGCCCATCATGCTGCGAAGCCTCCTTTCTTGCCGGTGAAATTGTGGGAGAAGAAGGGCGGCTGGGGCTCGGTGTTCGCTGTATGATCAGCGGTGGTGAACATACTTGGTCGCCAACCCCTTCATCTAGTCTGACGCGCTTCTTCGGAGGGCTTCTAGGCACCTCAAGCTGTGCTTCTTCCTGGGGTTCCGTGTACAATGGCGCCGCGCTTGGTTCTTCGTCTGCGTCGTTGTCCTTTTCCGTGAGCTCTTCCTGCTCACTAATGGCAAGCAAGCGAACCAGTTTAGTCGAAGGAACTGCGGAGGGCTTGGGTTCTGTAGGTTCTTGAGGCTTCGCAACTTTTGTAGGAGCTGCTAGCGACTCGACGTGCTGCTGTTCTCCGTGACTCTGGCTCGGGTCTGGCCTTGCTTCTTCTGCTTGCCATCTTGGTATCACAGGCTCCTCATGTTCCCGCTTTTCTAGTCCTGAAATACTCGTCTTCTTCTCGACACGATTCGACTTGAAGAACCGAGCAATCGTATCCTGACTGGGACGACATGTTGCAAGCGGCAGCCCGGCCTTGCGCTTTGCGTCTTTCTCAGCATCCTCTTTCGCCTTCTTCTTATCGCGAAGTACTTTGGCCTTTGCCTGCTGCCGAACCCGGTCTTTCTCCTGCCTCTCCGCCTTTTCCTTTTCCGCGATCTCTCTTCGGATCTCAGCCTGGAGTTCCCGGTCGCGTTCTCGCTGTTGTTGTTTCGTCAAGCGAGGCCCGCGATTTCTCTCGAGATGCAGCTTCTTCGCTTGCTTCGAGGTCATCGGTCGTCGGTCTGCGTCGGAGAGTGGAACATTGCTGACAGGGCGAAGCCTGTCGGGGACGGCACTGAACTTGCGCTGTTCCAACGTCATGATGGCGGATGGTTAGCCATGCCTTGTTTTGAATGCTGGCAGGCCCATCAGCACGTGAAATTAGAGCCTGACAAATATAGCAAGTGAATCAGGAGAAACCAAAGCGCCACGCGAATTAGATTGTAGGCGCTGGAGTAAACGTGTGCTCTATACATGCAGAAACGAGTGATGCTGGATTGTATGATCCAGGACCAAGCAGTGGTGAATGAGTTGGACAGTGGGGTCGCGCTCGACACACCTCGTTGCCAAACAAGTGGCAACGCGCGCAGTGGCCACGCGGTCATGTGATGCACAACCAGGTACTTTGGCGGGGTAACTATCAGCCACTGAGCCCAGGCACAAGCCACAAACCGCGGGGTCGATCCCCAATCGATTAAAAAAAATAAAAAATTGGTTCAGAGGGGCCGCCATAACGGACTGGGTCTTTTTTTTGCGACAGCGACTCCTGACACTTTCCTCGCCACGATATAACGAATCCTTTCGCAAAAAGGGAAAGCTAAAAAGATGTCGAAGCGAACGGCCGACACCGAAATGGGCGACGGCCCCCTCAAGGCCGGTGATCGTCCCGAGAAGATGGACGTTGACGGCGACAACGAGATGGGAGAGTTTGAAGACGAGTTTGAGGACGAGTTCGAGAGCGAAAGCGAGGATGAGATTCTGGAGGCTGGCGTTGACGGACGACCAGATGCGGAGCGCGAGGCCGAGGAAAAGGGTATGTTTTTTTCTGACGTTTCCGCAAGACACTGTGTCTGACCTTCTTTCCCAGGTGCTATGGAAGTTGACCAAGGCACTTTCATCGTCGGCCGGAGCAAGCTCGAGCCTGGCCAGACGCTGGCCCCCGACCTCACCACGTACCAGATGCTTCACAACCTCAACACGCCGTGGCCCTGCCTTTCGTTCGACCTTCTCCGCGACAACCTGGGCGACAACCGCAAGGTTTACCCCGCCACGATGTATTCGGTTTCCGGTACCCAGGCGGCGAGTGATCGCGCTGAAGAGAACGGACTGATGGTCATGAAGTTCAGCGGTTTGAGCCGGATGGACAAGCTTGAGGAGGACGAGTCGGACGAGGAGGAGGACGATGACGACGACGAGGATTCCGACCCTATCCTCGAGTCCAAGACGATCCCCCTGAACTCGACGACCAACCGTGTTCGTGCGCACCAGATTCCCTCGCAAGATGCCTCAAGGCCACCTACAACACTGACGGCCACGATGACTGAGTCGACCAACGTCTTCATCCACGACATCACTCCCCATCTCACATCGTTCGACAACCCGGGCACCACAATCACCGCCCAACAGAACAAGCCTGTGTCGACGATTCGCGCGCACAAGGCCGAGGGATACGCGGTGGACTGGTCGCCTATCGTCCCTGGGGGCAAGCTCCTCACCGGTGACAACGACGGCTTGATCTATGCGACCACCCGCACCGACGGCGGGGGCTTCGTTACCGATACCCGTCCTTTCCAAGGCCACACTAGCAGTGTCGAAGACATCCAGTGGAGCCCTTCGGAACAGTCCGTCTTCGCCTCGGCGTCTAGCGACGGCACGGTGAGGATTTGGGACGTCAGGAGTAAGAGCAGGAAACCCGCCCTGACGGTCCAGGTCAGCGACACGGATGTCAACGTGCTGTCCTGGTCTCGCCAGACCACCCATTTGCTGGCCTCTGGCGCCGACGATGGGGTGTTTGGCGTCTGGGATCTCCGTCACTGGAAGGGAACGGGCGACAAGCCCACCCCCATTGCCAGTTTTGACTACCACAAGGAGCAGATCACCAGCGTGGAGTGGCACCCGTCCGACGACAGTATCATTGCTGTGGCGGCAGGTGACAACACCGTCACGCTGTGGGACCTGGCTGTCGAGCTGGACGATGAAGAGAGCAAGGATACGGGCGGCGTCAAGGACGTGCCTCCCCAGCTGCTCTTCGTCCACTACCTCTCGAATGTCAAAGAGCTGCACTGGCATCCCCAGATCACGGGCAGCTTGGTGGCCACGGGTGATGAATTCAGCATCTTCCGTACGATTAGCGTTTAATGATACCTACGACGCTCAAGAATTGAGCAACTTGAAGACCATGATGTATGAAATCTGTGTATGCAAGCATGTCGTGAGACTCACTTGAAGGGCGCGGGAGGCCCGAAGCGGAAGACTGACGAGCCCTGAATCGTTTCGCACTGCGGTTAATCAAAAACAGCGAGATAAAATAATGGTGTCTTATTTGTATACCCAAAATTCCACAGGAGGATGCTGTTTGGTGTTGCTTCATTGTCCCAGAGATTGCCCTGCACTATTTGCGCCTTCGTGACCCACAAGCCTCTGCTACCATTCTTGCATTCCACATCTTACCGGGCGAGCAACCCATCAGCTTGCTCTGCAACAGCAATGCCAATCCATGCGCGTCAATCAACCCGGACAGCCTTGCCTGGCTCTTCAATATGGAACACCACGCCTGAGACAACCTTCCGCTCCAATGTTGTAGCTCTTGAGCGGCAGACGAATGCCGTGCCTCTTGATTGCCAGCATTTTCCCGTGTCAAGCTGGGACCCCATCTCTGAGAAGTCGGCAAGCTACCAGCTCTCGCTATTACAAGAGCAGCAGCTCGCTGATGATTTCTCTTTCATCGCTGCCGTCGGCGAAGGCGCACAGTCTGTGGCAGCAGCGACAGTTCAAGAGTCAACCCATTTGTCCTTGGGTTCGTCGGGGCCTAGCCTTCGATTTACAATTGCTTCTGTCGATGCCATCGACGAAGCTGCACAGAGCTTTCTCAATGGCATCTTCAAAATTCTTTCAACAGTGACCACGAGCAACCAGGGCACCGTTCTTCAAGATATTTTCGGTCAGATTGCCGGATACCACAGTCAACGCCTTTTGAATCGCCTGCGCTCGGTCAGGTGGACAAAGCCGACATACCTCGCCAGGACGCACAAAAAGCCTCTCTTTGCAGATTTTGAGAATCTGAAACACAGAGCTCAGCTACTATATGCTCGCTCTGAACGCTCTCAGCGCGTTAGTATCGAAGCGCACCTTGCCTCTCTCGCGTCAGTCCTCGAGGCTTTCGAAGTAGCCTCGGAAGGAGGACCGGCAGCAGAAGCCCAGCAGCGCCTCAATCTCATCTGCGCTTGCTTTGACTTTTGCGTCTCGCAGGAGGTAGCGGAGTTTCTTCATCGCCTTCAGAAAGTGCGGGCAACCTCGCAGATTCAGGCATGCCTTAAGACCTTGCACCAGGTCGAAAAGATTGCGGCGTATTACAGAATTTCCAAGACGTTGACGGACTACGCACTGGAGTTTTCGGGCCTCTTCGGAGACGTTGAGCTTATCTTTTTGACCCCGTACGAAGCAACTCCCATCGAAGTTGCCTACCAGCCGTGGGCGGCATCTACTCATGTCCATGCCGAAGTCATGCTCTCGGTACACCACGACCTCAGCAGCGCTACCCATGCTTTCATGACTAGACCGAGGTGTATGGGGGCCTCGAAATACCTCTGTTATCTCTGCTACCTGTTCCTTCGCCGACATGGAAGTTATTTTCCCTCAAGTACTCACGGCGCCTGTTACGACCAGTGGACGATTCCCGACCTTGCTGAATACCCTCACGAAATGAGACAAATGTACCAAGGCATTGTCGATGGAATGAACCACGATGTAGTAGAGGCGATCAAAGGTGCGACTCGTCGCCCTGAACCCATGACAAGCCGAGAAAACCTGATTGATGCTTATCATGCGACATAATTTCGGGCTTTCAACGTAGCAGACGAAAATCGCATGATCTGCAACATGTATTCATTCATCTGTGAATGATTCTAACCACTCAGCGGACCCTCAAGAGGAGTGATCGCAGGGTCCCAGCAGACAGGGGCATATTCAGTCGTCTCCAGAGACTTTCATGTCCTCCTCCGACAGCTCAAAATCAAAGACGTTGGTATTGTCGCGGATGCGCGAAGGCGTCACGCTCTTTCGGAAAGCTGGACGTACCCCTTCTGCAAGCTCCAGCGCAGGAGAACCTGTGCCTCAGACTTGCTGTGCTTCTTGGCCAGCTTTCTGCAGGTTCTCCTCACCCCACCGTTCCGCCGCGAGCAGGGAGCTGTATGCCTCCGACAGTGATGCGCGGCTGCTTAGACCACGTGGCAATGTCGTTCCTCGCGCACCACGGGTGAATCTCATACTGGACGACGTTGATTGCACCACCCTTTGCCGGGCGCCGCCGCGCTCGGCTTCGAGCTCCTTGATGTGTGTCTCCAGCTGGTCGAGGTGATGGACGCCGTAGTTGCTGACGCCGATGGAACGGACCTTGCCAGCCTCCTGGGCCTCAACGAGGGCTTTCCAAGCGCCCTTGCGACCCTCGGAGCCACCGTAGGGGCAGTGGAGAAGCATCAGGTCAATGTACTCCAGCCCCGTCTCCTTCAGCGTCTTTTCGACTTGTGCCTTGGAGTCTTCGTAGTTGATGAGGCGGACTTTCGAGGTGAAGAAAATCTCAGAGCGGGAGATATCAATGGCCTTTTTGATGGCGGCTCCGGCGCCAGCCTCATTCTTGTAGGAGGCAGCAGAGTCAATCTACACATGTCAGTCAGCTGTCAGGTGACGCATCGCATTCGTGTGACATACATGGCGGTAGCCAGCCCTCAATGCCTCACCGCAGACTTCCTCAGCCTGCTCAGGAGGTCTTGGCTCCTTGTCAGCCGAAGGTCCCAGACATACTCCGAGAAAGGCGGTTACTCACGTTTTCCATAGCTGTTCAGTTGAAAGTTAGCCGAGCTCAATGTCTAGGTGGATTCCCCTACTTACGCCATAGCCGACAGCGGGAATCTCATAGCCGTTGTTCAGCTTGATCTTGGACTGCAGATTTTGAGGAGCCATGATGAATTTGAGAAGCTCGATATTTAAGCCAGTGACAAGTTTCAAGCATAGAATGTTGCGTCAATTCACAATATGATCATGAGGGGGGGCTGTTACGGAGATGGCTGTGAGGACCCATCAGGCTTAGCTAAGTGTCGCTCTGTTTCGGCCTCTTTAACCCGAGGCAGTTCCACCTATGAGATGCGTCGCGCCCCAAACATCACCAACAACATCACTAGTATGAAGATTGCACAATTGCCCTGATCAAAGAGTCCAGCTCATATTATCTGCACGTCATCCGCGCCCTCGACACCGTCTGCATCGTCTGCATCCTCGTCGTCGAGGTCTGCGATCGGATACGACAGGAGAGCTGCTACGCTGCCTAGCATGTCGAGTCTCTGCCCACTCTCGTGATCACTACTCAAAATTCTGACCTCACCTCCGTCTTCTTTTACCTTGTCAACGAGGGCCACGTACTGTTTCCTCGTGGCAATATCGGAGCTACGGAACAAAGAGTTGTTCATGATGAGTGTGCCACCGCCTGGACCGACCGCACCCTCCTGCACCGCCTTAGTCACCGACGAGGTGCCGTACCACGCCCTCCCGTCGTCCACCCTCAACTTATCAAAGAAGGTGTCCATGAGTTTAGTCTCCTTGGTGAACTTGAAGTCCTTGAGCTTGTTCCCCATCTCCGGGCTCTTGAGCACCTCGTTGAGGCTGTGGACGTGACCCGAATTTGTGTGCACAACAATGGCCTCCTTGGCGATATTCGACAGCTTCTTGTCCGACTTGTCACGCCCTTCATCCGCAATGTACTTTTTGAAATCCACAGCGATGAATCCAGGGCTCGCCAGCAGCAGCGGCCGCGGTTGGTCAAAATTGACCGTTCGCAACAGGTTCGACAAGGTCTTTTGGTAGAACTTGCGCATGCCCTCTGAAGTGTCTGACGCGGCGCTCCTCTTCTTCGGCACGACGCTCTCGATGCGCTGCTTGACGACGGTGCGGAACTGCGTGATCAGGCAAATGTTGGCAATGCCTTCCTGCATGACGACAGCGGCCATGGCGCCATCCTTGTCGTCAGAAAGGCCCTCGTTCAGTGTGTCGCGCGCGACAGAGTCCCAGCCCTCGGGCTTGCTCAGTGTGAAGGGGCGGCCGATTTCGAGGTCGAGGGTGTGGTGCTGGCCCAGGCTGACATAGGCGTTTTCGGACTTGACGACGCCGCTGACCTGCAGCTGGCCGGCAATGGGGTCAAAAAAGGTGGATTTGACCTTGATGGCGAGCATTGTGTGCACTCGTTCAGACTGCGTGCTGCCGGTCTTCGTTTCGGAGACAACCTTGCGGACGGCGTGTGCGACGACGGTGTCGCCGGCTGTGATCAAGTTGTAGGCGTGCCACTGGATGAGGAGAAAGTCAGAGAAGGCCTGCAAGTCATGCGAGAGACAATTGCGCGCACCATGTCTTCCGAGTCCTCGGCCGTCAGTGTGACGGCGTCTTCCGCGACATACTGCGAAGGTTTCGTCGACGTGAGCTTCATGGTTCTTTCTCGCCTCGGATGGCGTCGTCTGGGAGCGTAGTGTGCGGCTCGGCAGAAGTCCTGGAACAAAAACTATGGCTCCGATGATGTTGAGCGAAACGACAAAAATCTGGCGCGATTTGGGACCCAAGTTGACGTCACAGAAGCTACTGGGCTCACAGACTCGAGCCTAACAGAGATCGCGACCTTCGTTACACCATCATCGAGCCATGGCGGGGGCGGGGAAAGGCTTATCGAAGGACCCCTCTTATCGAATCGTGCCTATCGATAAGGACCCAGCCTTGGCCCTCGAACCCCGTTAGCAATGCCTCAAAAACGGTTGGCTTTTAGTGAGCCACCCACTGGAGACAGCAGAGCAAGGTACTGTACATGAGGTCATGCCGTTTTCATCAGTCCACCTCTCGTCGGATTGACAATTCCCATTTGGCAGGTGCCAATGCTGGAGTCTTTAAGGAAGGCGCATCCGGAGCCATGACGCCTGACAAAGCGCTAGAGCGTCCTAAGATGTGATGGCGGAGGGCAATTGATGGACCATTTGGTCCTCCTGGATTTCCTTGACCCTGACCTGATGAGGAATCACGACTCGTCTCACTTCATTTCGTTTCCCTCATTCCATCCTCCCTGGGCCCTGAGAGATTGAGCCTCGAGCAAACCGAACACGACGCGAGCCATCCCTTCGCAAAGCACGTCTCTGAGCTATATCGCCGTACCCTCGCATTGTGTCGTATTCTCGCATTCCGACCTAATAATATCCATCCAGTTAGCTTCCAGTCTCCGCGGACTTCGGCCTTGCTCGCACGGCGCGGCTGTACTCGATCTGGTTGCCGCACCTTGGGAGCCCTGGTCTGTCGTGGTGGGCTGGGCTTTCGTCGGCTTCGCTTTTTGTCTGTCGCTAACCACCAATCTGTCCGACAATCCGTTCGGTTACCCGTCCAGTCCCGCGCACTCCGGCCTCGTCGGATGTCTCGTTATTTTCCCACGCCAGCCCTCTCGGTCTCGCCTGCGAGAATCGAACGTCCATCCATCCATTCCATCCGGCCAATCAACCCAGTTCCGACATTGCCGCCCCTTCTCAGGGGTCATGTCTCCTTACCCCTTGAAAGCTCAAACTCAAACCGCGTGATGGGACATGCCGAACTCTGTGTCGGTCAGCATGTCTGCTGACAACCGTCGTCGAGACAAGCCGTCAGCGCTCAACGTTGCTGCGGCCGCCATGACGGCCAGCGCGACTCGCTCAGCGAGCCCGAAGCCGAGCACCTCGCGGCCAAGCCACGAGGCCCCCCGCGCACTCTGCAGCAGCAGCAGCAGCAGCAGCAGAAACGAGCTTGAGAGCCTCCCTATCGGATGACCATGGTACGTCCAGGTGGCCTGCATTCCATTTGCCTGTCCGCCGTGCATTGTCCACTGTTGTGGTTCCCCCCCGCGAGGGCTGGGTGGCGCACGCACTGTGAAGTTTCGCATAGCGGCGCGGGTCCGAGGTGCGAAGTACGACCCGACTACTGACCCGTCGTGACATCGTAGGCCAACAGCTTTCTGCCCTCCGCCCTAAGAGAACACCCACCAAGCTGGCCCGAAACCGTTACCCCGACAGATGGAAACTGCCGTACGAGACGTTAAGACGCCGGCCCGGACGTCGCCCAGCGCCCAACAGACGCCGTCGTCTGTCGCTGCGGCCGCTCCGCCATTGATCCCCTATCACAGGTAAGGCCTTAGCCTGGCCACTCACCCTGTTGCCAGCCCGAACCCAATGTCAGCAATGCGTTGCTGTGCTGACCGCTGTTCGAATCGTTTAGCATATTCTGATGCGAACCAATACCGAAAACAACTCCACTACTCCTCGTCTACGATATCCGGGTCGGCCGGAGAGCCCAGCCCCAGACGTGCTTGGTCACCAAAGACACGGCTCCGACACGACGCCAAAGCATGCCGGGGTCGCTCCGACAGATCCGCTCCGAGACAAGAAGTACGCCTTTCCCAGTGACGGTGAATCGGTGGTTTGTTGATACAATTGCTGACGCCTCACTCTGCGCAGAAAGGGCGTATCTTTCCTCAGTCGCCTTAGCATGCGCGGCCGGAAGAAGGACGACGATGCCGACGACTTGTCCGAGCTAGGCGAGCCAAGACTCGACGGCACCGATGCGCACGTCTTCTCCTCTTCTATCGGCGCCGGCGGCTACATCCCGCACCACAAAGAACCTCCGCGATATATCAAGGTTCGCGCCCACCACAAGAAGACCCGCGAATTCAACCGCATGTTCCTGGCGCAAGAGCTGTCAACCGCCCCGCAGCCCGAGGATGAAGCCGAGCTCCAGTCGTCAGCAGCGTCTACCGCGAGTGGAAAGAAGCGCCCGCATAAGACTGGTGCTGTCTGGGCGCTGGAATTCAGCAAGGACGGACAGTATCTTGCAGCTGCTGGAAAAGACCAAGTTGTCCGTGTCTGGTCGGTCTTGTCGACACACGAGGAGCGTCGACAACACGAGGAGGAAGAGAACGCCAGCGCTGCCGCCGAAGCCCGACTTAGTGCCCCCGTCTTTCGAAGCAAGCCAATCCGCGAGTTTACTGGCCACACCGGCGAGGTCCCTGGATCTCAGCTGGAGCAAGAACAACTTCCTTCTTTCCTCGTCCATGGACAAGACAGTTCGCCTGTGGCACATGAGCCGACAGGAGTGCCTTTGCACTTTTCGACACAAGGACTTCGTCACGTCCATTGCTTTTCACCCCACCGATGACCGCTTCTTCCTAGCTGGCTCTCTAGATTCCGTCTTGCGATTATGGAGCATCCCGGACAAGGCGGTCGCCTACTCCGTACAGCTCCCAGATCTCGTCACTGCTGTGGCTTTCACTCCAGATGGCAAAACATCCATTGGCGGTGTCCTCAACGGCACTTGCCTTTTCTACGATACCGAGGGCTTGAAACTGCAGACCCAGATGCTTGTGCGATCCTCGAGAGGTAAAAACGCCAAGGGCAGCAAGATTACAGGCATCAAGACCCTTAACACGCAAGTGGGCACCGCCGAGGTTGAGACCAAAGTCCTCGTTACTTCCAACGACTCGCGGATACGCATCTACAACATGAAGGACAAGATGATTGATGCTAAACTGAAGGGGCACGAGAATCAATGCAGTCAAATTCATGCCGACCTGAGTGATGATGCGAAATGGGTCATTTGCGGCAGCGAGGACAAAAAGGCTTTCATCTGGTCCATGGACCCGAGTGATCCCGAGGTCAAGGATAAGGTACCGGTTGAATACTTCAACGCTCATTCAGCGCGGGTTTCCGCAGCCATCTTCGCACCGACGAAAACTCGCCAACGACTCGGCGCTTCGGGTGATCCCCTCTACGATCTGTGTAATCCGCCGCCTGTGAAGCTCATGAGCCTAGAGGAATCACTTGTCGCGAGCCAGACAGCCCCCGGAGATGCAGCACAACCAACGAAACAAGCGCAAGGAAAGAAGCCGCGAGAGTCGGCTGCCTATGTTGAGAAGTCAAAGCATTACGACGGCAACATCATAGTTACGGCAGACCAGTCGGGGTCTGTCAAGGTTTTCCGCCAGGACTGTGCGTTTGCAAAGCGGCGCCATGAGAACTGGGAGACGGGTTCCAGCTTCTCGCGCAAAATGGTAGGCACAAGTGGCATGGTCGGTCGCAGCGGCAGTATCATCACGCGAACAAGTGCCAGCAGTCATCCTCAGTCAAGGCGAGCGTCTCTGACGCAGCCTGCGCATCCCACCAACCCAGGTCCTGGAAACCAGATGAACTCGGATCGTATCAACTCATGGCGGCAAGGCATCTCAGCCGACAGTGCTCGGAACAGCCTGGTCGGTGCCGCATCCATGCACAGCGAGCGCTCTGCATCCCCAAGTAAACTTGCCAAAGCAACGCATGCCAGCCCGCTCATTGCGAGGCCCATCACCACAGCTCCTGAGTCGCGCGAAAAGACCTCTGCTGACGCACAACCTCTGTCGTCGGGGCCTCATCCGACAAGTCCTTCATCGAGTGCTGCCAATAGCCCGCGCATGGCCAAGAGACTCGAACGTGATGAGACCCAAACGCAGCCGCCAACACCGAGCTTTTTCATTCAGCGGGCCGAAGATGATGGGACAGTAGCCCAGCCGGGCTCGCCGGCAAGCACATACTCATTTTGGAACCTGGGTCGATGGCGAGGGACATCAGCATCATCTCGCTATTCCACTGGCTCGGCCAACATATCAACCAACCACGCCACGACACCAAGAAGTTTGTCCGCAACCTCGACAATCGGGCCTTCCAAGGACAGCGAAGCTTTAACGAAGGTCAAAAGCGCTGCTTCAGGCCCTCTGCCGGATTCAACAGCCACTGCCGAGGCTCTGGACTCAACACTGCAGTCACCGATCACGGATCAGGACGAGACGTTTGATATCGAACTAGCTACTACTGGCGCCTCACATGTACTGAACGGAACGGTAGATCAGCGTGACTCATTCGTCAGCCAGCTCAGCTCTGACTACAGCAGCGAAGCGGTAGCTGACACATTGACATGTCACAAGTGCGGCAACAAGAACTTCAAAATCAGATGGCTGGCAGGAAAGTCGCGCATGCTTTGTAGTAAGTGCGGGCTCATCGCTGAGCAAGGTGCCGTTGAGGCATGAGCAGGCGTATGGCTGCACAAGCCTGATGTGACTAAGGCGTTAGCAAACCGGTCGTACATGAACCGTTGCAATACAACACAAACAATTCCGAAAAAGACAGTTTCCCCATCACCTTGACAGCGTGTAACTCGGGCGTAGCCATACCTGATGGATGTTTGCAACACTATCGCCCGGCTATTTAACCTACCCAACAGAGTTTGCATTGCGCTCCGCCTGTGCTCTAGGTCTTTGTGCTTGACGTAACGACTGATAGTACGACAGGACAGCGCAGGCATTGAAATGAGAGGGAGGGCCGTCACACAGGTGAGCTTTTAGCTCCATAAGATAAATTCGCCTCATAAGAATCGCTCATCCACCAGACTTGCAATGTCTTGTAGCCTAGGCCCTTTGTTCGAGGCAATCGATGAAGCCCCGAGAGTTGCTGCCGCACGATGAAGGCCTACGCCCTCGCCCTCGTTGTCCTCCAAGCCACCCACTGCCCGGCAGCGTCCTTTGCCTTTGAGCGTTTTTACGCTGGCAGCTTCGGCTCGACTGACAAAAATTAGTGAGTGATGAAACCGCCCGGCACGAACGGCTCGCTGAATATCACTCGAAGCGTCATCTTCGGCATTAGGCCTACGCCTGGCGCCTCCTTTGCAAACTGTACGCACAGTTCAGAGACCGGTCCTATCGTGCCAGAGTGCCCCGGTCGTACTGCCAGGAAGCGCCCGCCGTGACCTGGAGCCTGGCGAGAGTTGGCGATGGCGACGGGATGCTCTTGCAGGCTTGGTGGGCGTTCACGAGCCGGGCGTCGCTTTACGGGCAGCACGTCATACCTGAGAAACAGATCGTGAGAGAAACTGAAGCAGACGGCAAGATTGTGGAAAGTTATGAGGGGCCGCATGAGTTCTTGATGGAAACTGTGACTATCGCTGGGCCAGGCCTTATTTGAGTCAGTTGAGACTCGATGTAGAGGGGTGACGAGGGGAGTTGAGAGAGAGAGTCACAGGCGCTGTAGTAGGCTGAAGCATGGCTGCACTACACGACCATAATATTGAACACTAGCTATGTCGCACTTTTTATTTGTTACTCGCGTAGTGCTTTCGTTCGTCCTATGACCCATAGTCGGCGACCTCTTCCCCCAAACATGTCAACCATCCTGCAGAAGACTCCATCATCACTTCTTGGCTCTCATGTCGAGGAAGGACCTGAGATAGTCCAGCATAAAGGTGTCCAAGTTCAGCGCGTCAGCGCCACGACAGAGATGCTCCCAGAACTCGGCCCACAGTGTGACATCGTCCAGACTCGAAGCGGATCCGCTCCGAGAGTCGAAAGAACCCTCAATGAAGCACAAGGTCAACAGAGCCCAGCCCATCGCATCCTCGGCGCATGTGCTCCCCGCTGGTTGGCGGTACTCAATCGTTCGGGCTTCGGCATCGGGAGAAAGCAGGCGAGCCAGGTTCCATTTGTAGACTTTGCCGTGTATGAAGTCTTTTTTCAGGCCGTGAGCGCGTCCATACGGGCTCGAAGCTGGGAAGAGGCACATGGACTCTACAATCGCGCCGATCCCGTCCTCTTGAACTGATGCTACTTCAATTTGGTCAAGACAATGGGGCAGAGAGTGCATGGTGGCGAGGAATGGGTTTTGCCGATTGCTCCGACACCAATACGCTGTTGATCTTTCGCCGGGCACTAGAATGTCAAGACATGGCTCATAGACAAGAGCTGCTTGGGCTATGGCTGCGAGTTGATGGGGTGACATGTCGTTGCGGAGCTGAGATACGTGAAGTGCGTGCTGCATTGGGATGAAGTTTGGAGCTTGTAGACCTTGCGAATCTCAGAGAAGATGAGCTCTAAATCTGTGAGCCATGAAGAATTCAATGTGAAGATGGGTGAAACTAGTTCAACGCCCCCTGTTCAGTCAGTGGGGGAAGCCGTGTGGTGAAGAAGGGACCCTTACATTTGTTCTTGGCGGGCAGACTCGGAATCGTGATCTCTTGAACGATCGACCAGGCTTGATAGGCATGATCGGGTTTCTCGGTCACCTGATTAGAGACTCCCTTTTTAGACAGACGGTGACTGATGTCTTTGGCCATGGATGACCATGATGAAAACTTCTTCGAGCTGACCAGGGAAAGCTCTAGTTCAATGCCAAACGCAAGATAGGCCGGGCTCGGCATTGCGTTGATTATGCCCACTTTGAATTTGGAAAAATGTAGTTGGAAGCTCAAGGCAGGAAGTTAAAGGCTCATGAGATCTCTCCCTTCGTATTCGTGAAACAGGCATGTTCTGAGCTTTATATAACAGCTATTCTTGCAAAATATATTACATCCAGTCTCCATAGCCTGGCCTACATTATGTTGCAAAGAGTAGGCGCTGTGATGCTCGATCTCCTGCCACAACGTCACTTACACGTGGCTATGTCACAACCGAGCCCAACCCCTTTGACAAGACCGGCCTGAAAGGAAACGGAGGCTTGGTCAAGTTTGGTCCCCGCGCTTGCTGAAATGTATGATAGGTCATGGCTGGACCATCTCTGAGTTTCAGAGAGCGTGCTCACGCATGTGGCCCATTATTACGATGTACTAGGGCTCACCAGCGGTTCATGACACATGTGTCGGGCCTTACCAGCAACTACATGCGCGAAGTCCGCGGGACGCTGACACACGGGAAGGTGGCACGGCTGATGCTCAGAAGGCCAGAGCTAATGACAGGCCTCGTCGAAAACCATGAACCTCATAATGGAGCGACCAGAATGCAGACTATTTCGGACCACTCCGGCGCGTACAGGTCTTGCGTGACCCAAGCCGGACACCCTCAAGATTCCGTCTACGAATCATCGGCGGCCAGTCTGCGCTTAGCCCCTTTACGACCACTGACTGATGTATGGCAAAAGGTTGGGGGCCGCCATATCTGACGAGGTCGCGGTCGAAACCTTCCATGGACACTCTGGGCTCCCCATGTTTCTGGGGTCCAAAAGGGCGCCGTCGTCTCGGATCATGCAGCATCCTAGGCTGATAGGCGCGCGGAACCACTGGGGACAGCCTGGTGACGAGGCAAGGTTCTTTGGATCTGCGTGGCGAAGCCTCACGGACACCTTGTAACTTTGTCGAGAGCGCTTGGAGAGGGTGATCGCGGAGCGCTGTGCCGTCTGGCGGTGTGAGACTGCCCGTCTGTTTGCTAGACGCCACGAGAATTGGTGGATCTCAAGCATTTGCCTCTGCGTTGGGCGGTTGGTCCGAATGGATCACGCTGTCAAGGGATATGTTAGGTCAAATCTTTGCTTTCGTCCCCCCCTGGTCCGCGACGATGTTCGCGTTTGCCTGTGGGCGTGTGCCCTTTTCTCAATCACGTCTACCGCGAGAAATGGCTTGCTTTGCAATGTCGCACGATAAGCCTGTGCCGCACGGTACAGCGTGATTCTTGCGTGGGTGAAGCTGTCATCTTCTCTGACCGGTCGGAGGAAGCTTGATGCGCTTTGTCCCGTGACGTCGTGTCCCTGCAGAGTGTAACAAGGTCAAGGTGACAAAGGCCGAATCGACAGCGTGGTTTGGAAACTTGCATACCACTAGGTCGGGTCGGGGCCGGGGTAAAGGGTAAATAATCAAGAGCGTGCTGTGCCAGCTTGTCGCCAAAGCAAGAAAAACAAGGGTCATTCATGAAGCGAGCCAATGGGCCGCAGTGACGCCCGGTTAGTGGGGTCTCACTGTGACCGTTTTGCCTAGATAGATACTATGCTCAGTTAAAAATATATGAGGTCTCCTATCATGGTGCTTCATGGCTAATCGTGTTATGCTTGAATCCCAGGACTACATAGTACATCTGTGATGCGATTGAGAGTCCCAAACCTATTCACCATTATTGGTAATCATCATGTATATACTGACTGTCCTCGCTATATATCGCAGCAAGACGTCATAGCAACGTTAGGAAGACCAGTTATGGCGGCTTCCCTCCGACTGAGAACACGCAACACGGTGGGGATGAGCTTGGTCCAGAGGGATAGGCAATAGCTGATGGAAAACGTAAGTCGAATGAAGGCAGTCGCAACGCGAGGGAATGGCAGGGTAAGGGGAGGGAGCACAGAAGAAGTAGATTGTCTCAATACTATCCTAAAAAAGCCCACACAATGCACTTGCCTTTGCACTTATTTAGTGACGTTGTTGTCTAGTCTACTGGTCGGAAGAATGGAGAAATGTACCAAGTCTAAGTTAGTTTGAGGTAGTAACTAGTGACCTTTTTGTGCTGTTCGCCATCTACTTTTCATAGTTACGGATAGTAGTATGATGGGAACGTTGTTTCCTCGCATCCCCTTTGTTTTTTCTCTCACCTCCTCGTCCTCCTTCCACTTATTTACCTCCCCCCACTCTTCGTCCTCAAGGAGCCCAGTGAGAGTTGAACTCCATTCATCGACCTGAAAAATCGTTCAGAAACACCCTCAAATCTACCTTGGGCCGTGATGGTCTCTCAGGCGATGGGCTGGCGAACACACCCTTCACGGCTGTAGTTGCTGGTCGTTGGTTTATGAACATGGTGCCTGCGGCGCAAGTGTCGTGGGCACATCTGTCCCTGACAAACGAGTCGAAAGACGAACTTTCGAGGCAGCAGCGATTCCTTGGCGGACTACCATAAGACATCGCAAGATATCACAGCTCCATGCCGAGCATGTCCGAGAGGTGTTTAGATTCATAGAATGCTGAGGATGGAAATGATTATGCTAACCCCAAAGAATGACCTTATGTACAAACGCCTCATGCAAAGAATGTTCTTTTCGTTATGGACAAGCTCATCGAGCCCAGTCCTTTCTCCAGCTCTCGACACACTTCGTCAGCAGGCCACTGGTGACAACGTCGTATCCTGCGCCGATAGCCTTGCTTCTGCGTTCAGTTTGGCCCGTCTCAAATACCAAACCACTGCGCCCGGGCTTGTCATTGTCATACTTCTCAGCGAAGAAGTCCAGAAGCTTGACTGTCGGATTGGTCGTAGGGTCCTGGTCTCCGTCGCGCAGCCTCTGCACCCACTCTCGCTGACTGACCGTTTCAAAGGTCAAGCCTGCCCTGGCGAGCGCAGGCAGCACATCTTCGGTCCAGCGAGTTGTCGTCGGGTTCTGCACGTGGTAAATCACGTCGGGGCCGTCCCTGCGCTCAAAGTATCCGTCCGTCTTGGATCCCGGCTCGGCGAGCTCGGTGAGTTCCAGCACCGCCCGCGCTGAGAGGTCAACGGGTAGCCACGAGGGGGTCTCGTCGAGCGCCGGCAACGCGCCAATGGTGACAGCAGCGCGGAACATGAGGGGGATAGCCTCGGTAGCATTCCACTTGCCCTGGACCGAGTCACCCACGATCTGGCCGGACCGCAGGACTCGTGCTTCCATGCCAGTTGAAGCGGCGGCGGCCTTGACAATGTGCTCAGCAACCCACTTGCTGCGCGCATAGCCCATGTTTTGAGCGTGCGCGGGATCCTTGACCAGTGTCTCGGCAACGCGAGCCGGTGAGGGCGTGCCGGCGGCTGCAGAGACCGAGGAAATGAATGCCAGACGGGCGGGACGGGCGAATGGAACAGATAGACAGAGATCAAGGAGGTGACGGAGACCGGCAACATGTTGGGCCTCGAAACTGCGAACAGACAGAGTAAAGTTGACGGCCCAGGCCGAGTGGATGACCGACGTCACGGATGTGCTCAGCGCCTCAAACGCAGCGGCACCGAGACCTAGATCAGCAAGGCTCAGGTCCGATGGCAGAGCTGTGAACTTGGCCGATGTGTGGTGGGGAGACAGCCCAGATTCGACCAAAGAGGACAGGATGCGCTCGTGAGCCGAGCTGTGGTGAGGTGACAGACCACGTATCGCAAGCGATTCCAGCACACGCTCATGCGCCGCTTGAGGCGACGAGGCACGGACAAGGCAGTAGACATGGCGAATGTGTGGGAGTGAGAGGAGCTGCGACAGGACGTGGGCTCCAAGGGAACCAGTGGCGCCAGTGAGAACCTAGTGGAAGCACATTAGTAGGCACGCGAGTTTTGTTGGGTGGTGATTTGACTTACAACTACCTCGCCATCGGGAACCTGGTGCCCAGGGGTAAAGGGGTTAAAGGTCGAGTATTTGGCGACGAGCTCTTGCATGACCTCCTCCTCGGTCAAGGCCTGTAGTGTTGAGCCCTTTCGGATCGAGTCCAGGTACGCCGCCAGCTGAGAGATGCTCGGGTGCTCAAAAGCAACGTTCTGGCCCAAGACATGGTCTGCCAGGTCCAGCTCACGCATGATGTGCGCGCGGGCCGTGATGGCCTGAAGAGAGTCCATACCTGCGGCAAAGAAGTCGGTATCTACCGAGAGTTCCTCGACTCCGACACGCTCAGACATGAGTTTTGTGAGGTACTCCTGAAGCTCGGGGATTTCGAGCGCCAAGCGCTCAGCGTTGCCGGGAGATTCAAACCTCTTATAGACGTCGTCAATAATCGTGGCGAAGTGGTTGTAGCTTGCGGCGCGGATGACGGTGCCCTTGTCGGTGCGAGGATACTCTGTGCCGTGCGGGAGGATTTCCACCATCTCGCGGGACACGCGGCCAAATTGTTCAGCACGCGTGTTGGCGTCCTGGATATCGGGCCAGAGCTTCTCGAGGAGGTCGGCCGGGGTGATATTGACAGCGTGCTCGCTCGGGATGATGAGCAGACCAGGGAAGGCACGGTCGACGCCAAAGACCAGACAGTCCTGGACCAGCTCGTTCTGGCGCACGCGGTGCTCGTAAGGCACAGGGAGGACCTTCTCGCCGTTCATGAGGGTCACGCGGTCATCCAGACGACCGAGGTACTTCCACGCGTCAGGGAGTGTCGGGTGCGGAACAAATGTATCACGGGTTCTGAAAGAGTTGGGGGGATCGTCGGAGTTGGACATGACCTTGGAGGGAAGTCCGTCAAGAACGATCAGCTCATAGATGCCCTCGCTGACTTGATCAAACTTAAGAAAAGGCTTTGTTTTGACAAGAGGCCTGACGAAGTTCCAGGCTTTATCCTGCACATGGTCGCGCTGAGACGTCATGAGCTGACCCATTTCGGTGCTGCCAAATGTTAACATCAGCATGATCAACATAAACTGTTGAGCCGTATACTCACGCTCCGTAGTGAGAAACAATGTTGACTCCTTCCTGAGCCAACATGTCACCCAGATCATCCGGGCAGCTGCTTCCACCAAAAAGCACCAACTTGGCCTTGCGAAGCTCGTCGACTCCAGTGCTTGACTCCGCAAGGACCTTCAAGGCATAGGGAACACAGTGAAAGCTCTCGAAATCGGCTGTGCGCATGGCCTCAACAAGATGGCCGTTGGTCAAGGGAAGGTTTGCGTTGTAAATGGCTGTGCGTTTTCCGGTGACCATGCCTCGAAACATGGTAGAGAGGCCATGGTTGTGGAAAAGTGGCAACGTCACAAAAGCTCGCATTCCACTTCCGGTGGCATAGTTGCTGAGGCAAGCCCTATGAGTCTGGAAAATAGGCTTCGGCAGGCCAGTGCTGCCGGAGGAGTGCACGATAAAAGCAATGCAGTCTTCTTCGTTGACGAGTTCGGTTTCTCTCTGGAAACGAATTGGGTAGAGGGGCTTTCGGGTGTAGACTGTACTGTGGAGAAGGGGAAAGGCTTGGAGTGGGTAGACAGCCTGAATGTTGGCTATTGTCGTATCGAACTTTGGTATGGAAAGGACGCGCGTGCACTTGGTCTTCTCAAGCAGAGAGACATAGGCTTCTGTTGGCAGGCGGTTGGAGAGGAATAGAACAGAAAATCCCATGCGTGACAAGGTCAGGATGGAAACAATGTAGTCCAGATTTGAGGGTCCCAGCAGGGCGACTACCTCGGCTGTGCTACTTTTGCGCTCCTGCAACTGTCAGTCTCCATTGTAAGAATATGCCAAGACAATTCACCCATACCGTAGGACGCAGGCCCAAACCCGCCAGCTCTTTGGCGGCTTCATCGGCAAAAGTGTCGAGATCTTTGGCGGTGTAGTCTCCCCAGTCTGCGGAGCCTTGGTCGGATCTTGGATAGGCAATGAGCGGGGTGTCAGGAATGCTTTGTGCCTGGTGAAGTATGAAATCATTGATGCTGTTAATCTTATCGGGCTTCGAACTGGAAACGGGTTCCGGGGCCTTCGTCACGTCCAAGCCTGGCGCAAGGCCCACGAGAGTTGCTGTTACGGCGGCCATGGCAAAACGAGATGCTTCTGGCTGGCTGTCTCAAACAGTAAAAGGTGACAGATCAACAAGTACAGAGAGCAAAACGAATCAGTTGATGGGCCCGAGTTTAACATAGACCCTTGCTCCTCTATTGCACATACTGAACTGAGCCTCTACAAGCTGTCTGCCATTTAAGGATGGAGGGGATTGGCCGCTCACGTGCTGTGCCTCCGAGTGGTGGAAAGTCTCAATCCCGGAAAAGCGCCCGGAAAAGGTGTTCTGGGGTGTAGAAAGGTTGACCCCAGGATAGCCGGCCGATCCGACAGCGACGATTGCGGAGTCAGCATATCGCCACCCCGCAGGTGTCCTGTGCGAGACAAGTACCGACAGTATGTGGAGACGAGTCTTTCCCATCATGTGCTTCCTCACGGAGAGAACATCGGCGGACTAGTCCGGGTGGGCAGGCGAGACGTTGACGGTTTCCCCGTATGCACTATGCGGCTCGGGAACTGCAGGGGACGGCCGCGCGGAGAGACTTACGTCGCGGTGCAAGGACCAGCTGCAGCATGTCTTAGATCCAACTTTGGTGCCTGGGTCGGAAAAGGGTGAAGGTGAGAGTCCCAGTCTGAATTTCCCTAGTTCTTGTCTCAAAGTTGATGGCTCGTCATCGACAAGCTTCTACGCGGAAAACCATGTGAGAGAGGTGTGCCCCTGGGGCAGCTTCTGATAGCGCGCCGTCATCGACAAGGGGAGGACAGACCCGTCATGTGATGCAATGATGGTGCTCAAGTGTTAAGGACGTATATTCAATTATTTTCGGTCAAGTCATTTAGCCGCCGTTACTTTGCTGCTCCTGCCAAACTCCCAAAGTCGCCAGGACAACACGAACTCAATGAAATTCCTCGCTCATTGTTGACCCATGCCCTCAGCCATGGACAAATCCCAGCCCTCCATGCCGCCCTCTGCAAGGAAGGCATCCATGCCAACGCCGCCAGTCACCTACGGAAGATCAGTGTCAGCGGAAAAAAACGCTTGAGAAAACACAGTCCATGCGAGAGGCCTGCACTCACCAATGAGTCGAACTGGCCCCACCCAGTCATCTGGACAATGGAACTTCCCGGGCTGGCATCGGGGAACCCAAGTCCGTCATCCTGGCCGATATCGAGCTGCCCGCTGGCATTCGGCGCTCCTGCTCCAGCGGCAAAGGCCAGCTCGCTCGCCTCCAGAGCTAGCAGGTCTGCACTGTCAAACTGGCGTAGAACAGACTCGTCTCCTTCGAGGAGCACGCCAGCGGCACCGCTGCCGTTTCGCTGCCCTGCTGCAAGTGAGAGGAGATGCGTGTTCTGTCGTAGCAGTTCGAGACGCAGCTCCTGGAGAACGACGCCATATCTTTGTGCCAACGAGCCAGGTATCGCGATTGATGTGATCTGCTGCTGGCACTTGGTCGCGGCATGGAACGCCGGGAGATAAGTCTCGAGCGGCGAGTTGCGCTGCTGGATGGAGAAGACGTAAAGCATCACGACCGCACAGAATGCAAAATAGTGTGTAAACTGCGGGTCGTCCTCTTGATTAGCGGACTGTGTTTCTTTCTGCAGCTTGGGAATTCTTGACATACCCAGAACGTGTTGTAAAGCTGCCCGTTGGAACTGAGGGTGTCGACGAGGCCCACAATGTTCATGGCAGCTTCCAGGCAACGCTGAACATGTTCATCCGTCAGTTCCGAGTTGCGATTTGCTTTTCTGTTGCGCGTCGAGCCGAGATTGGCGAGGCTGGCGAAATTATTCAGCAGAAACGGACGATGGACGAGAATCTGGGCGTGCCAGCATGCCATGTTCAAGACATTACGTTGGCGGAGGAAGATGGGCTGGAACAATGAGGGATCAACACCGTCCGTATCCAACAGGTAGGTCAAGCCGCTGCGCCAGTTGTCGATATCTTTCGAGTACCTGGCTGCCAGCTTGAACTGATTATCTGTTGATGGCGGGCGGATACTGTAAAGATCACGCAAGATATTTGCCACGATGCGAGAAATCCTGTTCAAGTTAGTGTGTGGGCCTGGAGAGGGATCTTGGTAGAACCAACTCACTTCATGTGCGCCACAGGGCCTGACATGACCGACTGAAGACTATTTGTCGGTGCTGCATTCATTTGACCACGCGAAAGCCTGTAATCATCGACGCAGAGGGGCATTTCCTGTGAGATTGTGAGATTGCAGCTTCATCACTGCCTCATCACCCAGACACTCACTTGATCAATGTCATCATCATGAAACGTCCTCGGCCGACCCAGGGCTGCACTGAGGTAGGTGTCAAGGTTGTAAGCGCACCAAAAGGTGCGCTTGCGGCACTCCAAGTCAACATAGTCGGGGTTACTGCTGCTATCGACACGCGACTTTCTGTGGATGCCCAGCGCCAGCATCAAGTGCGCCGTGGTGCCAAACAGGCTCCAGCAGTGGTTGAGACGCGAGTGTGACAGCAGGTAGATGCACTGCGCAAGTCGAGCCTGCACGCTCGTCAGGCGGATGGTGCCCTTTTCGGCCACGAGCTGATCTTCAGCTGCAGAAAAGAAGCGGGCACTTTTTTTTTACAAGGAACAAGTCAGCATAAAAAGGGTGAAGGACCTAAAATAGTGGTATAAAAGGGGCACTCACCTGGATGTCGGATCGACTTTGCCCGCCTTGGACTTGGGGTAATTCTCCGCGCAGGCAAACACCATGAAGAGCAGGGCCGTCCTGCTTCGGGCGGCCGTCTGCTCCCGCATGGTGCCGTGGGTCTCGTACAGCTCCTGCAGCCATCTCTCCACCGTCGGTCGGTGCAAGAAACGGTGCGTGGCCGAGGCGAACTCAAAGTACCTACAAAGCAGAGCTTCTGCTTCGGAGCGTGGGGGCAGGATGAGGAAGCGGGGGTCAAACTCGGGCAGCGGCAGATCGCCAAAGGTGAAGATGGAGGCGTCGGAGGAGACGGAGGACTGCTGCTGCAGTTTCCTCTGGATCCTCAGCAGGAACGAGGCGCCGGAGGCCGGGCCGACATAGTGGCCCTGGCGGTCTATCTGCGCTGGTTCTGGCGAGTTGCGTGACGACTGGGTGGTGGAGGGCCCCCGTCCGTTGTCTGGGGGAGCCAGCGTCCGGTTGCCGATGGATATGGGACTGGGAATGTGCTCGGCCTGGTGGTGGGTGTGATCAGGAGGCCCAGCCGAAGACGGGTGCTGCTGCTGGCCAGATGGCCTGGCCCCTGGAGGGTTGGCGACGGTGTCGACCAGGTCGCCAGTCTCCATTTCTATTGAAGGCAGACGGCCGCGTCGATAGGAAGCTGTGTACTTGCACTCTAGCCGCAGACGTGAGCAGAGAGCGCAAGGGTATTTGCCCGAGCATCGAGTCTTCCGACTGGAGCAAGGTCAGGTTAGTAAGCCTGATGGAGTAAGGAAGCAAGTGATGCTCCAGGGTTTAAGGGATGAGATGGATAGATATGAGTATGAGTGAATGAACCAGCAAGCAAGCGAGCTCGATGAGAATCAGATGAGATCATACAGGACACCACACCACCGTCCCAAGCACCACAACATAGACCACATCACCCGCTACGAAAAGGGGGTATAATAAGACTTACGCCTTGCAACGGTCACAAGCTCTGCTGGCACGGCTCCTCACATGGGGCGGCTTGCGCTGTTTCGAGGGCGGTGATTCATGGTCCTCAGGATCGGAGTGATCATGACCGTGGGGACCAAGGCCAGAGTCATTGTTGCTGACGAGGCTGGTTCGGCGGTCGGTGTCCATGATGAGCTCACTTGTCGGGCTGAGCGGGCACTGCAGTGTACTGCACGGCGCGGCGGCGATAAGGTGTTGGTTGGCCGTGGGGACCGTTGTGACGGAAAAGGGCGTCGGGCGGAGAACGAGTGGTGATGTGTTGTTTTGTATTCCGTGCGCAACATCGGCACGAGTCACGACGAGGGCCGAGAGATGAGTGTGGACCCTTCATCTTCATATGCGGGGAGAAGACGCGGGGTTTCGTTCGCGGGGGAGACCATCCGATGCATGCATGGAACCACGCCACAATGGCCTACAACCTCTTCATAGTATGCTCTACCGGGGGAACGGATACTAACGAATCGTGGCTAGTCAGTTCAGGGGACGGCGGCTCTGGTCTCACCAGTTGGTGTGGATGGTCGTATGAAGAACTGTGCCTCTAACACGCGAAGTAACCCCCGTTTGATTCTTACGACGCCATGCAATGTACGAAGCACCCTGGTCCCTGATCCCTCACCCCCGCAAGGCTGGAGTGAAATGGCCTGCCGGAAATGGATTCCCCTGCAGCAAAAAAGAAAGATGTGTCTAGAATTCTTCACCATTCCCGCAGCTCGCCGCCAGGTCCGACGAAGCCCGGACTCACCCACGGCTCAGCACCCTGACTTAACAATCGGATCTTCTCCTCATCTATCTCGATACCAAGTCCCGGCCCTGTCATCAACGGAATGTATCCGTTCTCGACATTCCAAATCTCCGGGTTCTTGATGTACGTGAGCAGGTCGTGGCCGCCTGTGTTGTAGTGAATGCCGAGGCTCATCTCCTGGATCGCAAAGTTAGGCGTCGCTGCGTCGACCTGAATGTTGGCGGCGAGCGCAATCGGACCCAGGGGACAATGTGGTGCAATGGGCACGTCATATGCTTCCGCCATGGCGGCGATGCGACGAAGCTCTGAGATGCCACCAACGTGAGAAATGTCTGGTTGCAATATGTCGACGCACGCCGCCTCGAGGTACGGCTTGACATCCCACCGGCTGTGAAGTCGTTCTCCCAGTGCAATGGGTGTCGTGGTAGACTGCGCAAATGCCTTGATGCCTTCAATGTGTTCCGACAGCAAAGGCTCCTCCACGAAGAGCGGCCGGTGCGGAGCCAGCAGTGCCGCCAACTGCTTGGCCATGGGTCGATGCACTCGTCCGTGGAAATCGACGCCGGCATCCATGCCCGTCGCCTTGACCGTCTTGACACGCTCGACGCAGGCGTCAAGTGCAGCAGGGGAGTCGAGCCAAGCCAAGTCTTCAGTGCCATTCATCTTGACGCAAGTGAACCCTTGCGCCTTGCGCGACAGACTGAGACTTGTCAGTTGGATGATTTATGGAATACAGCTCAAGAGGCAACTTACGCTTGCGCTTCAATATCAGCGGGCCGGTCGCCGCCAATCCAAGCATACACTTTGATCGTATCTCGCACCTTGCCGCCCAACAGCTGGTAAATGGGAACATTGAGTTTCCGGGCTTTGATCTCTCGTCAGCAAAATAAGTAGCAACAGAAACTCCAGGCGTGCACCTACCCTTGAGATCCCAAAGAGCAATATCGAGTCCAGCCAGAGCGCTCATGAATACGGGACCGCCTCGGTAGAAGCCCATGCGCCAAGACTTTTGCCAAATCTGCTCAATCTCACTGCATCGTGTGAGTAATCAAACCCTCATCCTCTAGATTTTGGTGTGACTTACTCGGCTTCCATCCCAGTGTACTGCGAAATCCAAGCATCCAAGCACCCTTCAACCGCCTGGGTGTGGCCTTCAAGCGATGCCTCACCCCATCCTACATTCCCCGCATCGTCGGTGATCTTGACGAACAGCCACCGCGGCGGCACACGGAAGTACTCAATCTTTGCAATCTTGCCCATTTTCTCGTCTGTCTGAGTAAGTGAGTGAGTGATGGAGCTTTCAGAAATGATACGGGATGAAGTTCCTCGTAAGCGTACAGTTACCTGCGTGTGCGCGCGTTGGCCTGCCTTCGTACCCGTTTCCTCAGTTTTGTACGATGAGTCAAGTGATTGGGTGACCAGCTTGACATCCGATGCTCAACGGCGGAAGACATCAGCCGGAAATGTATCCGTCCACGAATCACGCCTTTACATGTGGGGCCGAGAGGTTGCCGACGTCGGCGCCAGCCCGGATTTCACACACGGCCCGAGCCGGCTTTCAGTAAACGTGGGGGTGCGCAGGTCGTTGGTGGGGGATGGCTACGGCATTGTTTGTGATGTTTGTCCAGGGACTGATGTCGTGTTCGGCACTCGGAAAGGAGAAAGGCGGCTCTTTCGGAGCACGCAGGGTATGCATCACACGATTACGGTGTCAGCCTGTCTAAGAGCAAGTGCCAGTCTTGGCGATCCGGATGCCGGCAAAGCATGAGGTTGTCACGTTGACAGGGTTGGTAGACATTAAATCTCACAGCCAAGCTGATCTGCCTGATCATGTCGCACAGGGGTGGTTGCCGAAGACACATTGTCTCATATTCACACGTGACCGAAGAAAGGAGGCAGTTGTCAGGTCGATCGCTGCATCTCATATCGACCATTGCTGCGTCAGAATTGCCCAATCTTCTCCTGTATCGATATCTGACATGGCTTGAGGCATGATGTTTGGACTCTATCTTGGGGTTGTCAACAAAACGTAGTCAGGCTAAAATGCAAATGCTCATTGCTGTCTATGCTACTCTATGGTCTATTTTGGCCGCTTTTCTGTGCCGCGGATCCAGTCCGCCCGTGCCTTTTTCAAGAAAGCCTCGTCGTGCTCTCCGAAGACGTCGACACCCAAGCGAGCAGGCATGTTGTACCTGTGGTTCTTGTCGAGCTTGTGATACGCTCCAGAGCGGCAGCCGACAACTCAAAGTCCTGGAAGTTCTCCTCGATGCGGCTCGGCGTCACAGACTTTGGGGAGAACGACGGTACCGCGCTGGACGGCCCACTGAATGAGGACCTGGGCGGGCTGGCGGCCACCTCCTTGGCGATGGCCGCGACTTCAAGGTCATCCAGCGCTCTTAGGAAGGTTGAGATTATTGTTTCCAGACGGGCTATAGGCAGTTCTGAGGTGTCTTGCTGCTTGGACCACTCGAGAAGCTCGGGCTGCTGAAGATAGGGGTGCGCCTCAATCTGGTTGACTGCGGGCTTGATTTCGGCGCTGGGATATGTGAGCTTGAGCACTCCCAAGATTTTTTGCAGCCACTTACGTCTTGAGGAGGTCCTCGATCCTCGCTTTGCTGAAGTTGCTAACGCCGATACTCCTAATCTTGCCCTTCTTCACGAGGGCCTCCATAGCCTTCCATGTCTCGGAAGCGGGCACGTCGATGACATCGACACCGCCATCGGCGGCGAGGGGAAATCGCTGCTTTTTCTCGGCGGGCTTGCTGAAAGAAACAGGCCAGTGGATGAGATACAGATCGACGTAGTCAGTGCCAAGATCGGCGAGGGACTGGTCGAGTGCTTCTTCGACATCTTCCGCCTTATGGTGGGTGTTCCAGAGCTTGGAGGTAAGGAAGATCTCCTCACGGGGAACACCGGAGGCCTTGATGCCAGCACCGACCTCCTCCTCGTTGTCGTAGACGGCCGCGGCGTCAATGTGGCGGTACCCATGACGCAGGGCATGCTCAACAGCGCGAGCGACCTCGTTGGGCCCAGATTGCTGACAATTGTTAGTGACGCTCATACGACCCCGCAGTGAGGAGGTTCAACTCACCCATGTGCCCAGTCCCACGGCGGGAATCGAGTGGCCCGAGTTAAGCTTGAAGGAGCGTCCGGAAGACATGATGACACGTTATGCAAGTGATAATGATACTACTTTGTCACGTTTGTGCGGCGTAATCATGCCCGTGGATGAATCCTCATTTAAACCCAGAGTCAAGATCGTGAACGGATTATCTGTGTTGATGTTTGACCCCGCGTCGTTATCCGAAAGCACTTATCCGACGGACGGACTCGGTAACCGCTAAAATCGACCCCGACGCCGCCCCGTGCCGGGCTGGCGCCCGAACGCCGGTTTTCTCCGTTAAACGTCTCCGACTCCGGCATGCCGCGACCCACCTCTGACCCCTCACTTAATTCGTCATACAGATACACGTGTTCTCGCCAGCGTTTGGTGCTTGACCTGGGACATTTCTTTTTGGAGGCTTCGATTGAACCGCTTTCGTTCTCTCAACTTTCAGAAAGACTTGCTCGAATCTAGAACAAACAAGCTCTCGCACAATGGCGAACACTACTCCTCCAGATGGCGTATTTGTGCCGGTCCCCACGTTCTTCAAGGAGAGCGCAGACTCTTCCAGCCTGCAACCTGCCATCGATGTCCCTCAGCAGGTCGCTCACAGCGTCCATCTCGCCAAGTCTGGCATCACAGGTCTCGTGCTGATGGGCTCAACCGGAGAGGCGATTCACATGTCTCGGCAAGAGCGTGTGGACATGATCTCTGGGGTTCGCAAGGGTCTCGACGAGGCGGGTTACAAGGATTACCCCATCATGGCGGGTGTCCTTGTCAACAGCGTCGACGAGACACTCGAATGGCTGCACGATTCCGCCAAGGCAGGCGCGCAGTGGGGTCTGGTGCTTGCGCCGGGTTACTTTGGCGGTGCTGCCAGCCAAGACAACCTCGTCGAGTGGTACACCTTGGTCGCTGACAAGAGCCCTCTGCCCATCCTGATGTGAGTCTGCTGTGAGTGGGCTTATGCGAGGTGGACACTGACATGAGCAGATACAACTACCCCGGCGTTACCAACAACCTCGTGGTCAGCATAGACACGTACGCCAAGCTGGCAGCACACCCCAAGATTGTTGGATGCAAGATGTAAGATTTATTGTCTTGTATTTTGAGAAGTTGACTAATATGGAACAGGTCCCACGGCAACGTCTCACACCACGTGCAGGTGTCACTTCACCCCAAGATTGATCATAGCAAGTTCCGCGTCTACTCCGGCTTTGGCCAGCAGCTCGGTCCCATTGTTGTCTTCAATGCTGCTGGCGTTATTGATGGCCTTGCTGCTATCTATCCCAAGACCATCACGAAGCTCTTCAAGCTGGCTTCCCAGCGTCCTGCAGACGAGGAGACGCAGGAGGAGGTCCGCCGTCTGCAGTGGAAGGTCTCTTCAGCAGAAGAGTTCATCGTCAAGAACGGAATTTTGGGAGTTCGCGAGGCCATTTTCAAGGTCCTGGGCTTCGGTCACCTGAAAGGCGGCAGGCTGCCACTGAAAGGCACGCTGGCTCAAGGCGTCTGGGAGGAGTGGAGCGACATCCTTGGACAGATGGCAGATGAAGAGAAGTCTCTGTAGGAATCATTCGTTGCCGGGCAATGGATAGGCAAACTTAGTCCCATGAACCTGATTGTATTCCAGCGGGGAGAAGAGAAAGACCAAGCAACGCTCCCCGACATGAATTCAAGTGACAAATTGGAGCTCAGCTTTAATCAGTGCCTCTGATGATTGGAATGGTGTTTCAGTGGAACTGTGTTTTCAACCGGACAAAGGAAAACAGCCTTCTATCTGTAAGGGGCTGGTCGTCGAGCATTGTGCTGGGACGAGGCCTTGAATGTATTATTACTATATAAAGAACAAGAAGTCGTGCTCGAGCCCACCAGCGAACTAGCTGCTGAGGCGCAGCCTCAGACTCGTGGCTTGGCCGGGTATAACCCGTTTAAATATCCGCCTTTGTATGGGGTATTCATCGTAGTTATTGCGAGTTTCGAAGTGGGTCCGGTCGTCGTTGTGGTGTTTAACCCAAGTTGTTGAAGTGAATGTGGTTGGTTTTTGTGACGAACCCGCTGTTTCCTCTATGTAATTCCATTGTTGCTCCAGGTTGGGTTTCGAGATTCTTCTCTCTTTCAACCTTATCCACCCACACTGTCGCCGCCGCCGCCCCATCCTTGTAAGTTGCAACCCCAACGGGGGGGAGTACTATATCTTAGGTTGATGCTTGCTGACTTCTCCGTAGTCGTCGAACAAGTTCACTGTGAGTTATGCGCCTCCTCCTGGAGTTGTCTCGGCTCTTTCCCAGTTGGTGTGTTTCTGCTGACGCGTTGGCATTTTTGTGGACCTGCACTAGTACCACCACCACCATCACCACAGTAAGACTGTTATACCACTGCCTGTACAGTGTGGTACTGATGCGTTTTAGATGTCCGCTCGCTCTTCCAGCACTCGCGGCGTTGCTGCCCCAGGCGGCGCCGTCGTCACCCCCTCCAAGCGGGGAAACAACAACAACAACGCGAGTACCCTCGTTGTGCGCTGTGTTTCCGCTGCTGATTCCGTAGTAGAATCCGGCCTCCACGCCCAAGCGCCCCAAAGGAGGTGCTGGCAACCGGCGCGCCCAGGCCTGCCGCCCCTGCGTCGTCCGCCTGACGGCTGACAACCTTCAGGTTGTCGTTCAGGAGCGGTACCCGGGCGTGCCCGGTTACAATTGCGTGTGCCACGACCAGCGTGGTAAGTCTTTCCGTGGTACGGTATCGCCGCGCCTTCTGACGTTTCTCGTTGCAGGTACCGGGCGTAAGTGCTTTGAGTGCGCTTCTCCGGTCTCCTCTGTGTCGCGGTGATCCCAGAGGCCCGCGCAGCCGCCTCCGCCCTCGTCAACGCCCGCCGCCGCCCGGCGTCGCCAACGACAACCCCCACGGGATGTTTACGTTCTCCGCTTTGATATCGCTTTCCAGTTCGCTACTGACTTCGCAGTAGACCCCGCCGGCGCCTGGGAGGACGCATCGCCGGTGTTCTACCAGACTGAGAACGCCGTTCCCGCCGCGCGCGCCGAGGCCGCCGCGAGGCTGCCGCCCGACCCCCGTGGCCTTGCCCCCGCCCCCGCTGCTGTCTCGCAGCCTGTCGCCGCCGCCCTCACCGCCCACCAGCTGGCCGTACAGGCCAGTCTCAGTCGCATGGAGTCGTTCCTCGAGCGCCTCGTCGCTGCTACCGAGGCCAACGTGGGCGACGAGCCCGAGGATGAGGAAGAGGTCGTTATTCAGGGTGAGGAGTGATTGGCTTTGCCGCGGTTTCAAAGTTTTACCAGCGCGTTTTCACGTCGTTTGGCCCGCATCGACGCGGAGGAGTCGCCTTTGCGGCTCCCCCTTGGTTCATAGTTTTTGCTCGTTACTCTGACATCACTTGGGGGCGGTCCGCTTTGGCAGGCCGCTCGACCGATAGCGGTGCTCATTTGGGACCGAGTTGAATGCGCCGCGTTTACGCGGCTTACTTCGGGCTTCTACCTTATTTTCGCCCTGATTGTTTGTTGGAAAGAGTCTACGAGCCCGTCGTTCTCTTGAATTGGGCTGTATCGGCCTTCAAATGCCCTTAGTGCGTCGCTGTCTTTGAGCCCAGAGACTGGTTCCCATGTTGGTTCGGAGTATCCTTGCCAGAGTATCAGTGCTTCTGGACGGGATCTTCTGCCCCTCCGCTGCGTCCTCGTACAGAGTATTTTGTAGACCAGCCACATTGCTCCAGTAGTATCCTCGTAGACAGGTTCGGGTCGCTCATCGTGCACTAAGAGTCCTAGTAGAGGGTCGTCATGGGCACGACGGAGGAGGTCTACGTGGAACCTATGGTGAACCGGGTGCACGTTAAAGCTCTACCATATGTGAGCCGATAACCTTCGTTACGCGGTGTTTCTGGTGTAGCCAGTCGAGCTTCTTGGATAGCCTCCTGTCTTGAATTTTGTTAGCGACAGCTAAACACAGTCGCCTACTCTAATTTATTCGATGGTTGCCTCCGGCGGTTGGCGTTTTCCTCCATCCTTGTCTGGGCCGCGGCTATGCTAGCTTATATAAAGTTCGATATCTCCTGGATGCGTTCTATCAGCTCCCTCGCTTTGAACTCGCGGCATCCCAACGATGGTATCTAGCCGACTTGTTTCTAATCGACATGGTACCCATAAATGGCGAAAAAGCGGCTCACTCCGGTCGTCAAACTAGCTCGGTTGTTAATGGCTAGCTGGGCGGTCGCTAGTTACCTGTCCCAGTCATCATGTGAATAGCAGATATACGGTCTTAGGTACGACTGTATCTCCCGGTTGAGCCGCTCTGGGCTCCCGTCCATCTATGGATGGTATGCGGTGCTGAGTCGCTGATTTAAACTGGCGAGTAGATGGAAGTAAGCCCAGAACCTACATTTCCAGCCTAAACCCCTATCACTAGGTATCGAATTTAGCAATCCATGGTAGCGGAAATGACAGTTTCAAAACTGTTTAGCACAGGCCTCCGCATCTACAGACCCCATTGCTTCTAAAGTGACGAACTTAGAGAGTCTTTCAGTGATCAACCAAAGGTAGCGCAGCTTCACGGGCCCGGCCGGCGGCAGGTTCGTCATGAAATCCATGACAAGGTCGCAATGGATGCGCTGCGGGGTCAGTGGGGGGTTTAAGAGGCCGCGCTTTAAGTCGCGCCAGATCTGCGACCGTCCACACACGCCACAGTTCCTGAGGAACCGTCGCACGTCTTGCGACTACCCTGGCCGGGGAAACTGGTGAGCCACAGCGGCGGTTGTGTTGTCCCTGCCAGCGTGGCCGCAGGTCTTGACATCATGAGTTTTTGTGAATGATCTTCGTCCGTAGTACCTCGTTATCTTGGCCGCCGGGTATCCATTTCCTCTCTCTGAACGTCAGGTCGCCCGCAGCATCGATGCCGCACTCCACTGTCTGTACCTTCAGTTGTAAGTCTAGGGAAAGTCGGCGGTCTCCTCGTGAGACCGCTGCTCTCGCAGCGTGTTGATCCCTCTCTCAGGCTCGGTCCGAAGTCTCTCGAGCTCGGCGTTTGCTGGAAAGCGTCCCTCGGGTCCCTTAGTTGCATCGATACGTCTAATGCCCGGGGTGTATTCTCGGTAGCCTTTTACTATGACGTCGTTGAACATCTGCAGGTAGCGCGCTTGCACCAGCTCATCTACCCCTGTCGGTGAGGCATCTTGTTCACGGCGGGAGAGCGCGTCTGCAGCTGCGTTCTCGCTGCCCTTCCGTCAACACTTCCCATCAGACTCATCTCTAACACATAATACCAACATATCGCTTACATTTCGATGGCTTCAGTCGCCACAAGACCGTTCCCAGACCCTGTCGGGGATGCTCAACGTCTGAGCCTCTCCCTGACAAGCCTGACCAGGTTGATAGGTTACAGCTGTCTGCTCTTTTTGTTATGCTTCTGATCCCCATAGCATCTTCATGAGCTCGAAGAAGCCTAGCACGCTCATCAAACGTTGTGCTGACTGTCGTAATAAGCAGTCAGGCGTCGCAGGTTGCCTTGACCCCGTTCTTCTGGGTCACCCACTTACCAGCTTCTCCCAAATAGCGTAAAGATGACCCTGCGAAGGTACGAAGCATGGGGCCGATCAGGGTGCTAAGGGCTACGAAAACGTGTATATAACAACTGTCGACCACGTGCGGAAGATGTTTTCACTCTGGTCTAGAACAGGCATTGAGAGCCAGACGTATATTCTGCGGGGAATCAGCCCCTTCTGGGATGGCAAGCAGCAGAATCTTGAGTTTGTCGTGCACGCCGATGACATTCCCCGCGTCAAGGGCCGCTGATCATCACTGGTATTATTTGTGAAGGTACATTCACCCAGTTATCTCCCACTTGTCTTATAGACACCCTGTACCCGAAAATCATCTTCCATTGACACTACATGATCTCAGTGGACTGGCGCGCTAATACGGATATATCACCGTATGCATGCTGTGATGAATCGCATCGCGAAGTCACGCAGCAAGGCCCAAACAAAAGCGCAGACCTACAAAGAGCTCGCGCAGTAGATCCATCTAGTATCAATCCTGGCCAGCCTTTTCAATCGGTGACTAACGAACAAGTTCATTGCTGAACGTGACCGGACTACCTACGAGATCTGCTATTTGCTCCTGAACCTGCCTCCCACAGACAGCACACATGCCGACTGTCGTCTCCTTGGGCGTATTCATCGAAATGTGAAACAAGCAGGTGGTGCCGCGGCGTAGCCTATTACAGAAGTATCTTGAGTGGCCTACTATATGAATGATATATCCTACTTGCCCCATTGCTACCAGAGTTAACAACCCCCACCTACCAGCACAGGGGCGGAAAATCCATTGTTCAGTCTATCCCATCCCGAACTGTTTCCCTCGCTACAAGCCACGGGGGTTGCGTGAGGGAGATTGTTCGTTGAGTTGAGATTCCACTTTCAATTCTGCAACTATTCAGAGCATCTGAAGCAGAGGGCGAGTATCGTAGATACACGCCGAAGTTCACACCATCTATGAGGTGCTTCGCAGGGGTCTTGACAATCGCAACTTCCACGCCTATCCAGTGGAACAACCTGAAGCGGAAGAGCCATACAATTCATTCGAGGACAAGGCTGTCAATGAGTGGATTGTCCGTGAGGTCTGACATGAGATTGCCGGCAAACTGCCGAACCACCTCTTCGAGCCTGATGATATGAAGCCTGGTGACAGGAACATTGGCACTGCGCCCTCACAGGCCAAGCACGTCGGTCTATATCCCAAAGCCCATGCTGACTTCTGGTATTCTAAAACGCTACTCAGCTATGCCTGCGCGCTCGTGCATCACGCCGGCTCTGCCTCTGCCTACTGGCCTTCTCGACTTTGAGCAGCCAAGAGTACGTTGATGTTGATGGCGGATGCCCAGCACGCCAGCGTTAGTGTGATAATTCAACAAGGACAGGTCGCCATGTCTATGGGGCTTGGAGCCCCAGCAGCAGTAGCAACAGCAGGAGGAGGAGCATGAAGAGAAGGGCGATATGACCTCGATCAACGGGTTATTTCTTTTCTTTTTTGGGAGGCAGGGGGGCCCGGGGACGGGGGTGGGGGGTTCAGGGTCCCGAGGCTGGCATTTGAACGTCTTGCTGTTGGGTTTGCTATGCAAACCCTACCAATTATTCGCTGCGAGTGACATAGTTTTATATTGGAGTGATGCGAGCGCAGCGACGATTGGGGTTTGGTGGCTAACCTCATCAACGGCCTCGTAGTAATGCTGTTCCGGCTGCTTTCCTCGCCGCTCCGCTTGGATCCTCCGGCGGCAAGGCTTGCTTCAGGGGCTGTGTTTTGTGAACAAGAAAGGACTCGGCTGGTCGCTCCTGTTGCTTATGGTTGGGGATGGCTGGCATGCACCATGAAAGATGAAACATGCGCGCAGCTATGTCAATTCTCAGGGCAGAAGTGGGAAGATTGAACCAAGTTCTTCTATTTGTGCAATGAGAAGAGTGACTCTAGTAAGCCTCGTAGGCTATCATGATACATAATCAACCCCATAGCACAGGAGAAGTGAGGGGTCACCTGTGGCAATGTGGTGTGTGTAAGTAGATGGATTGACTTGACTAATCGTTCTGCGACGATGTCTATGTAGCTATGTGTATTGTGTGGTGCCGTCACGTGTGGCTGTGTGTACGCCACAGTGCCGCCCACCGCAAAGGCGACGTCCTCGTTGCGCAGATCTGCCGCATAGGAATCGTTGCTTTGATGTGTTGTCGATCTGGATGTCCATTGTCTCACCCTGTCCATCCAGTCGCATTCAGCAATTCAATCCATACGATTCATTGTTGCTCGCTCACTCCTTGGTCGTGTCCGTTGTCTCGGTGGCAACACGTTTCGGATCTGGTGACTCAAAACCTTCCTGCAATTTGCGTTTGGCGGTGTTGACGAACTCCTGCTGTGCCGCCTGAAAGTGCCCCTTGTCTTTAGTCTTGGCGTATTGCTCTGTTGCCGGTCCGTAGGACACAGGGATTCGTCGCAATGGACTGCGTGATGAGGACCTCCATGCGTTTACTGCCTGCATTACCATGTTGTGGCGGCTCTGAGAGCCTTGCGACACGTCAGGTACTGCAATGCCATCGAAGCGGAATTTGTCGATTGCGTCTTTCTGTGCCGACAATGCTTCCTGTTGGCGTTCGATTACATCGGCCTGTGCCTTGAGTACGTTGTGCATGCGGCTATTGTTGTCCTTCACCCATCGCACCACCTCTTCGTGGTTGGCTGTCAGTCTGTCAAGCTGAGTTTTGAGTGCCTTGTAAGAGGCCTTTGCGCCACGGTCCGTTGCTATGTTATTGTCGTGGAGGATCTTGATGTTTTCCTGCAACAGATCGATGTCGCCCATGTGCTGGAATGCCAGTCGTGCGCCCAAACTGAAGCTCGTCGTTCCCTTCTTGCTGCCAGTTGCCTGGGGCTGGCTACTGATGGCCACAGTCGGTGCAACTTCCTTGCCGCGCATGTTTGGTACCTCCCCATCAGGTGCGCGCGGGCTGCTTGCAGGGCTGTCGTTGTTCAGCAGGTCGTCGATGTTGTCGATGCCCAAATCGTTGCAGGCGTATATGCTCGACGTGTTGCCGCCCGCTTGGTTGCTCGACATAGTGCTGCCAGTCTGGTCGGTATTGCCAGTCTGGTCGGTGTTGCCAGTCTGGTCGGTATTGCCAGTCTGGTTAGTGTTGCCAATCTCGTTGGTGTTGCCAGTCGGGGTAGTATTGCTAGTATGGTCGGTGTTGCCAGTCTGGTCAGTGTTGCCAGATGCGTCATTGCCCGCCTGGTCGCTCGATGCAGTGTTGCCAGTTTGCTTGGGTTGCGAAGGCGGGCCCATGATGCCGGGGGCTTTGCTCGAAGCTTGAGCGTTGTTCGACGAGAAGGCGTTGGTCGAAGGTGGAGCGTTGCTCGAAGGCGGAGCGTTGTTCGACGAGGAGGCGCTGCTCGATGAGCGGCCTGCGTTGCCTCCAGACTTGGCAAAGTGTACCTTCTTGGCCGATTTTGCCTTGGGGGTGGTGCTGTTGCCGTCGGTGCCGCTCACGTTGGTGCCGGTGTTCTCTGGCATCTTTGCGAATCCCAGTGCGTTGCAGAATTTATTGCGGTAGGTGACGTATTTGTTGTCGTTGTGCATACAACCGGGCAATGATCCGTCGTGGCCTTGGATGCAAAGGATTATAATATCGGTATTCGTGATAGAGTTGGGGTCACTATTGTATTTACTGCTGACTAACTTGAAGTGGTTGAAGTTGCTTGGCGAGCACTTCTTGCTGAAAACTGTCGGTGACAACGGTCTCTTGGTGACCTCGTCGATTTTCGCCCAATCCTCGCTGGGTGCAATGGCCCTTGCCGCCGCTCTGCGTGGTGACTGGTATTCCTGCCAGTCGTCGTCGGTCTGGCACTGATTGTGGGTCTTACTGGGCATAGTTATCGCAACTGTTTGATCGGTTGTAGGTGTTGAAGTCGCCGTTGCTGCTGGTGCTGATGTTGTCGTTATTGGGTGAGTGTTGCGCGCCTGGGGACACCCGTGTGTGTGCGAGCCCCCGGGCCGTGGTGATCGTGATTGTTTGCTAATGAAGTGTGCTTGCTAGTATGAACTACGGGAGTATGGGAGAGGTTGCGTTTGGGAGAAGGAAAAAGAAGGAAAAAATGAATTCGTGGGTGGGGGAAATCTTTATGACTTCTTCCCTCTTCTAGGGTGATTCAGCCAGTTTGACGAGGAAGGAGGTGGTTTCGGTGCGCCATGCTGTTCCTTTCATCTCCTGAGGATAGCTTGCTCGCCGACTGTGAGGAGTTGGTTTTCTGTGCGCCATTGATTGTGCTCCGATAGTAAACCGTCGAATTAGACTAGGAATTGCCGTTTCCTCGCTTTCTTGCGCTCTGCTAATATTACGACTACTTACTATTCACCGTAGCGTATTAGTTATATGTAGGGCACTACTCTACTACAGGGGTCGACGATTGCCGGCTCTAAGTGATCGATGGACATTACGTCGTATACTGTCCAGTTGCCTGGCAGTTGTAACTTGTACGCTGCTGGCGTCGGGGAAGCTGTATCCCCTATATAGGCGTAGGTAAACCTTGCTATAGACTTCGAGGAATTTGGCGATGCGTCGTCGGTTGTAGTGTCTTTTTATTATTATTGCTGACGTTGCGATTGCATCCGCTACTGATATCTTGCTCGCTGGGTCTATTGCTGGGCTTCGATCCGCCAGTGCCCTAGTAATGTCGTTAGGAGTGAATCTCTTGACGACTTCTACTGGGATTCTCCACGTTGATGCCGACTTCGTTGTGTTGTACTGGAATTGGAGTCTCGGGATCGCCGTCTCCCGATTGCTGGCGTCGTTGAGTGCGTGCAGATATAGTCGAAGAGCCGACTCGATGGTTTTGTATGGTGCACTCTATCTGTCCGTCTGTTTGGGGGCTCGAAGATGTATTCGCTCGCTGGTGCGTTCTGTGCTACCGGCATTCGCATCTGGGTGTGTGGTGGCTCTTCCGTCACCGCTACGTATGCGACTCGCAACCTTGCCTTATTCGTCCTTGCAAGTGCGGCTGGCAATTATGCTCCGCACGTTCCGATGTCAATTCATTCCCTTTCCGTCTGCAAAGTGAACTTCTCCGGGACCATGATGTTGTTGCCAAAGGGCATATTGGTTGGGAGGTCGTTTATGATTGCAGCCTCTCCTGTGAATTTTGTAGCCTGTATCGGCGCTGATTTCGTGTTGGGGATGTGGTCGCTCTTCGTCTGGGGTGATCGGGATACGCAATATATCGTGCTTAAGCGTTGCGAAACCGCTGCCGATGTCCGTACTGGAATATGCGCTGGATTTGCTGATTTTCAGTCTATTACGCAGTTGAGGTGGTTGCTCGGGCTGACCCGGCAACTTGGTATAGTAATTGGAAAGATGTTTATTGTCCTCTTCTCCGTACGCAGGAAGAGCGAGGGCCTGATTGTGTCCGATATATGTAGCTCTAATGCGCCTGTGTAAAGCGTTATTGCTCCTAAACCCCTCGCCGCAGCGGTTGTAAGTCTTATCGCGCTTTGCAACGCGTGAGACTGCTATGACTTGATATACGCGTTGTACGTCCTCCCGTGGCTCCTCCTTGTATGCGTCCTCCTGTGGCTGAATGTCGTCCTGTTGCGGGTTATCAAAGTACGTCTGATCGTACTCATCCATTACCATGTCGTCGTCGGGGTTTTGAGTGAAATCGTTGTGTACGTATCTGCTGGGGTCTTCGTCCTGACACCCGTCGTCCTCGTATATTTCGTCGTCGGCCGCAACGAAGGCTTTCTGCGGTGCTGGGTTTGCCTGATAATTGTTTTGTACTTGTAAGGGGCCTAGTTGCCGCTACTCGGGAACGTATCTGCCGTTGTCGTTGCGCTAGAATGCGCCGCAATATCCTCCACGGAAGTCTTTTTTATATCTATTGCGGAACCCAAAGCTATTTATAGTTGTTATCAGGATTGTGTCCTCTTTTCCTGTAACTGGGGTTTGTGGGACGGAAGTTTTCACGCGTTGGCTGCGGCCAGTGTGTCCCCTATGGCTGGGTGTAGTTATTGTGGTTCTGCGCTTGTGGGTTGCGCTACTGGGTGTTGTAGCCATATTTAGTTGTTTGGGCGTAGCCTCTACCGCGGTACCGGGCTCCTGTATTGCGTCGATACGTGTTAGTGTGATGTCTTGTGCTAAATGTGATGTATGGGTTTGCGGGTTGTCCACTGTGGGGATTGTCCTAGCTATTATTAGTGCGTTCTGCGATAGCGTTCTGGTGCGGTTTTGCGGATTGCGGACTCTTGACTTCTGATTGCGGCTATGAATCCGTCGAGAGTTGTGTTGTCGGTTAGGCGGTATCAGTCCCTGCAGTGTTCCGTTGAGTGCTTTGTATATAACCCTCAGCTAGTTTGTGCTGTTCAATCCGCACGCCTTGGCGTCCCTGATCATTGTCTGGATGAAGCTGAGTACGTCCTTGCGTGAGGCGACGTCCAGCAATCCGAACTTGGCACTCTTCTAGTGTTGCGTGCATTGCTTCCGAGTAATATAGCTTGAAGTAGTCTAGAAGATTGTCGCAGATGACTAGGACTGGGGCGGTTCGTATTAGTTCCTTATCCGTTTCTGTGAGGATTTGAGAATACTATACAAAAGCACGGCCTTCTAGATCCTTGAGTCGGTCTGTGAAGGCGCATATATCCGTATAAATAGTGCTTTGCCCAACGGTGATAGTGCTGAGGTTATAGGGGTCGTTGTAGTCGGGTTTGTAGACGCCCACGGTCTCGGGTTCGAGTGCCTGATGTTCGTAGGCGGATGCGTTCAGCACTTCATCTCCGCGTGCGGTCTGTGGTCCAGGCGATCAACCGTGCTTGCCAGCTGCTTCACCATGTCATTGCGTGTCTTGTCCTTCGACGCACGTATTGCCTCCGACAATAGCATTGCTGCGTCTGACCTGGTCAGGGGGCTGTTGTTCGCATTGCCGTTGTTGCTGGTCGGTGGCCCGTTGTCGGTGTTCATTGTTCTTGGTGATATGGAGTGTGTTCGTGACAGGAATGGTGAGGGTATCTAGTCCTATGGGATAGCGTCGTGTTGCTCCCTTGTAGCTGCGGAAGCTGTGGATACTGTGGTGTGTTGCTCCTGTATGCCTGGATGTCTAGTGTCCGGTTGCGTATCGGCACTGGCTGTGGGCGTCGGCGTGTGCGTGGCAAAGTTGATTGGGCCGATTGACTGTTGGCCTCTCCAATATGCGTCGTTCGATATATACAGGTCGTCCAGCGCGGTCTGCACTCCCGCCACCGTGTTGCGGTTGTCGGTCTCTGTGCTTGTGACCACAATACTTCCCAAGAAGAGAAGTCGCCTCAAATGTACCACATGGTGGACCGGATGAAGTTGCGGTTCACCTCGAGCGCATCGTTTCCACCTATGGGGATCAGCGGAGCCGCCTCGGCGCCGCGTTCAGGTCCACCTTTCGAGACCTCATGCATACTAAAGCCCTGAGCCATCTCCTGGCCCTTGGGTCCGGCCCGGAAACCGTCGCTCGTGGCGACCGACTCGTGAGCACGAGCATGGCCGGCAGCCAGGTCGGCGTAGTAGATAGCGGGATGCAGTGAAACCGGGGTGGTGCTGCGAGCGTACTGATACGAGTGCTGGTAGATTATCTGCTGAAGCTTCTGATGATTTACTTTGGCCTCGTTGATGAGTATATGATAGTGGACAGGGCGAGCGGTGTCTTGAATAGCACTATGTGCGTATAGGTAGAAGTCCTATTGGAAAGGATAGTAAACCTCGTTTTCCAGAAGTGTGCCTGGATGGGGGTTATTGTTCTTGTCTCCTTTGCCCCTTACGGGGAAGAACCGAATGTGATGGCGTTTTGTAGCGATAATGATAGTAAACTTGGGCATTTTGTGGCTAAACTTCTCCCGGAAGAAGGCCTTGATAGCTGCAAGCTCAATGTCGATGACCTGGGAAAATTGACCCTCAGAGACGCCATCCCTGAAGAAATAGATATGGTGTGGGGGATCGGTAGATCCAAGCTTTGTCATCCAGGTTGTCTTCCTGGTGTCCTGTGTTCTGGGGTGCGTTCGTTGCAATGTCCTTTCGCCGACGTTGCAGCGCGTGCTTCAGCGCTCTTGCTGAGGTTGGCCACTCGATGGGATATGGTATTTCCGTCAAGGAGCATGCAATATAAGTATCTGCCACGATCTCCCTTGCGTGTCTCGGGTCGTCGCTTGTGATTTGTTGACTGTGCTTGCCGTTTATTGCCGCGTATCGCAGTATGTACCTTGCAACGGGTACACTCGCCATAACATTGAGATAGGGCACAACAAAGTCAACGGCAGCAGCGTGGCAGGGTGATGAAGACAACTTCGCGACGACGAGGGAACGATGACAATGAATGAGGGGTGACCAGAGACAGGGGTGACAGAGATAGGCGCGGGGACATTAGCACAGGACAATCGGGTAGGGACAAGGTGTAAAGATTGAAAACCACTTTCGCGGCTGGTGCCAGTGCAGCGCGCAATGCAACGCATGCAATGGTTGCATTAGTGGATAGTATAGTAGTATATAGTAAGTCAAAGCGATGATAATGGGGGGATAAGGTATGGAGGGTATATTGGAGTCGTGGCCTTGGGATAGCGGTAAAGGTCGAGAGGTGGTTGAAGAAGCGAGGGTTGGTTGAAAAGGGTAGGTGGGAGAGTAGAGAGGTTAGGCACGAGCAATCCTCCTCAAGAGAATCACCAGGCCTCAACAATTCTGGTTCCTTCCGTCATCCCGTCCACAATTGGGTTCCTTCCATCGTCAAAACTCAACGCAAGACACCACCCAAAGTACCAGGCCACAGTGACCTCCTCCAATATGGCATAGGCCCTCTCTCCCACGAGTCAGTACTGGTTGTGCATGAATGCCTGATTGTCTCTTGATAACTTCAGGCCTCCTGAGATATCTTTCGATCGGGAGGACTTCTCCCTTCCCTTGTAGATACCCGATATGAGGCTTCAAGGCCTTCAGGTGATCCCAACGCATTTCACACAGGATAGGGCTTCATGGTTCTCTTTGCGTACCGCTCAGCCGCCGCAATCGCGAGCAGGCCTCCATGAACATCAGCTCTGCAGTGTCCCAATCATGCGACCCGATGGTCCATTATATCGACTCACTCCGTCCCCGAAGGTAGTTCGTCGGGTGTCATTCCGGCTCCTCCATAGCAGTCAGGAGTGAAGTCTGGGTTAGTTTGGGAATAGCAGCCTCTATCGAGCCTACGTGAGGCACTCCGTGCAATATCACGAAAGGAGAATAGCCCACCAGAGCTATATATCTAGCGTTCACTGCTCTCATATATTGCCGACTCTTGAGGTCCCAGTCATAGCTCCCCGCCCCTGTCCTGTTCATCACCTATTGCACTAGCCGTTTGACATCTCAACCATGCCTAGGCTCTTATGGGACTGTGCGGGACCTGGGATGACCATGATCCCCTGTGTCTTCAGACCATCAGTGATTTCAGCGGCCCCAAAAGCTGACCCTGGATTTCAACTGCCTGGACTTCCACTGCCTGGACTTCCACTGCCTGGACTTCCACTGCCTGGACTTCCACTGCTTGGATTTCTACTGCCTGGATAGACATAGCTCTGTTAATAATGAGGTTATTGGACTGTAGTGGTGATCTCCTGCCATCCTCATCTGCTGGTGAAATTTTCTGCCCTGACTGCGCTGATCCTCCCCCTGTGTGGTACTGCTAATAGTCGAGTTCTGACGTTTCTACGAGCCCTTCTGGTACCTTGAGAGGGGAATATCGTACCGCTGGACCTCTAAATTACTCACCCTGACCGTCTGAGGCTCCTGCGTTGATGGACCAATGGCGGAACTTGTGGAGGTGCTGCTGGTGCTGAATGTGCACGAAATTGATAGCCAGACGTCGAGATGACCGTGGCTGCTCTTTCGTGCAGTCCAGCCGGGAGAAATTGAATCGAGGCCTGCTCCCATAGGGCCCAGACATGCAGTGTCACAGGGCAGTCCACTCCAACCCCCCGTATACAGAGTAAAAACCACTGAGTGTGGTGCTTGGGTTGCCTCAGCTGGCATTAGGAGGCCATAATACCCTGCAAGCACTCTGCCCTTGCTTTCCTCTTGCTGGGTTCGCAACATCTTGTCAGTAAGGTGGGTCCTGGTCTGATCAGCTTGAGCCTTCATCACCTGTTTTCTGTCCTCAATGGTCTATCGGCCTCGTCATATCAGCTGAAACAGTTCCCTGAGACTTCCAGCTCGCATAGCTGGATTTTCCACTGCCTCTCGTCGAAGCCCCAGGTCTGTAATTCCCTGGACGAACGGTCGGATGACTTGGGCTAGGTGGTTCTGTTCCAGTAGTAACAGGCTGCCAGGTTCCAACGCATCCCGGCCTCCGACTTTCCGCTGTGCTCGCAGGTAGTATGCACTCGAGGCCTCTCCGATGTTTGCGGTGTGAGGCATTGCCATTGGTTTCTATCATCAAAGAATACAACAAGTCTTGATTGAAATGAATCATAGCAATGTGACACTCGACCTTCCGTCCCGCTCTACAGACCACAAATTCCTTCGCCATTATTTAACCACGATAATAATCATGCGTCCAAAACCTCCAAATGTCAGAAAAGCAAGCAAGTCTCGTGAATACGAAGGAATGTAAAGCAGATTATGTGACAGGGTTCTCATGCGAAGTTATCATTCAGTCACTCCAGTCATTCTCATGGTCGTCCTCGTCTTCGGTTTCAGTCATAGTACTGAAAGAACCTTCGGACTCGGTCTCGCCCTCGGCCCCCGTGTCGTAAACAATCCTATCCTCATCGGAATCATTCGCCACAGTCGTCTCTGTGCTTTTCTTGGTACTCTTTTCAGCGCACTTCTCGAGACTCTTCTTGATGTTCGTCCTGCTGTTCTTGTTTTCGTTGATTCTACCACGCGGGGTGGGCAACCAGTCCGCGATGGCGTCATCCGTTAGAATATCTTTGTGCATCCTCTTCAAATGACCTTTGAGATCAGTGATCTTATTGAATGTCTGGGTGTGACGTGGGCAAGATCTGACAGGGCAGTTGCGATTGACCCAGCCACGATGTTTGTCGTCGTAGTGCTTCTCGAGCGTGCCACGGCCTGTAAAAACTGTATCGTCGCCACATTCGTGTCTGTACGGACAAAGCTTCTGTCCAAAGTCACAAATCTTCTGATCGAGGTGACCCTTGAGCGACTTTTCGGTTTTGAACAGTTTAGAGCAGTTAGTGCAAACGAGAGCGTCGTTCTTAGGGGGGTCGCATGTCTTGAGATGTTGCTCGAAGGCTGCACTCCGATTGAACACTCGACTACAGAACTTGTTTCTGCAGGCGAAGACTTTACGATCCGGCAGGTCCTTGCTACCAATCGTGGTGGGCATGATGGCTGGGCTCTTTGAAGTAGCGGTCTGGTGTAGATACGTGTTGACTGAAGAAAAGTACGTAACAAACTGCTTACGGTCTGAAGTGAGAACGCTATCGCTCTCCAAGGGAATCTCGGGCATGGCGTCGAGGGCGTCTTGCTCAGTGGCGTCTTGCTCAGCGTCGTCATCAGCTTGAATAATGATGTCTTCGAGACTGTCATTGATGATGTCGGCCTCGGACCGAGCCGCGGAACTGACAGGGCCATCTTGCGGAATGTCAATCAAGTTGCAAGAATCGAAAGATTTCGGGTGAGTAAAGGGATTTCGAGGGTTTGTAATGGACGACGATTTGCCCTTTTCTGTTCCCTCCGAAGCCTCATTGATCTGCTTGCCTGGAGGAGCGTGGGCCGTGAGGGCGTCCATGGCATCTTGTTCTTGTCTCTCGTTAATTGCAGCAGCCCAGTGTTGTGTCGAGTTGAGTTTCTTCGAGGCAGTCTCTCGGTGCCGAACGACCTTGGGGTCCAGACCCATCGATTGGCATGTGTCCGTAATCTCTTGGCGGCTGTGCTTACGCTTCGATGACGTTTGACCTTCACTCCAAGTGAGATTTGACTCCAAGTCATATGGAAGAGCTCTCTTCTTTTCGTTTGTATTGTTCCTCGACTGGTTTGAGGTATGTGCGTTGATGCGCAAGGAGTAGTGGTCGATGTGACTGGGGCCGATGTACTCATCTGTCACACCAGCGGCAAAGCTCGAGAGAGAATGGCCAGCCACTTGTCTCGCGAGTTCCCGACCGCTGTCAATACCGAGGCCACGGCCTATCTCGAAGACTCCCCTGATGGCCCCGCGGCGAACGTCGTGGGTGACTGGATGGATAGCGAGACCAGCGGTGATACATGACTTGCGGAGCAGAGCAAGCGGCTGGCGGTATTCCATGTTCCCATCAAGCAGGACATCGCCAGCTTTTCCGGCAGCAGGGAAAATAGCTCTGTTGGGGTGACGCCAGATGACAAGTCTCTTCGGGTGACCGCGACAGGTTGTGATGAGGTCTTCGAATGTGTTGGCGTAAACCGCTTCACTCCGAAGGGCCCAGGCAATGAGCAACTTGACAAGGTCAACGACGTTGTAGTCGGTGTTATCAAGCTCATTGACGGTACAGATGAGGTTGTTTTCTGGCTTGTCCCTAAAGACGGCGGTCAGTATCGAAAAAGAAGTAGGGAGCAAAGCGCAAAGATAACATGGCCTCAAATCAGCGGAGGCCAGACCGGCATGCACTCACTTGTTGTCTTTGCACCATCTGAGGGTGATATTGATAAAAAAACGCTCGTCGGCGGGATCATCACACTTGGAAAGACACATGTCGATGTCACTCCACACAACGTACTCTTTGCCTTTGTGATGGGCAGATCGGACGATATCTCCAGTGCGGGCTCCGGTGGCGAGCTGGAACACAGGGAAAAGAACCTCAATGACTGTCGAATCCCAATTGAGCGTGCCGTGAACCATGGCATTATTGAGTACGGCTGTGACCATGCGACGAACTGATGCAATACCGAGCCAACGAGGCTGTTCTCTGATACGATCACGTGTGACCAAATTGTTCTCGAGAAGATAATTGAGCAGGTGCTCTGTGCCTGTTAGAGGAGCAAACACGGCAAACAGCGTGCAACGCGACAGATGGAAATAAGGAAAGGATTTGGACTCACCCAATCTGGTCCTCTCTCGAACACCTAGAGAGAATCGCCCATGCCAATTCCATTCACACCATTGGATTAGGAAATAAAGTTCAATCCGAGCGGTTTTGAGGCTGAGGATCCCGCCCTGTGGTTTGAGACTGGTAGGCAGGAGGGCAATGTATTTCTCGATTTGTTCACTTGTGGGGACAGTATTGGTGCTATCAGCCGGAGTGAAGACAACGTTAGGAGACCACAATATAACGTAGTTGAGGAGACGAATCGAGAAAGGTAATATACGTACTCGTGTTTAGAGGTCTCGCGGTACGCTTGGAAGCGTTTTGAAATTCTCTCCCATCAAAATCTGGGAGCTTTGGCCACCTCGTGGTTTATCGAAATTCAACATCTTCGTCGCTTGCTGATCGAGGGCCTCCAAGGCCTCGGGGGTTTGGCTCGCCCAAAAGCCTTTGCGAACAGTAGCTTTGGCGACAGTGGGGTTGTGTTCCTCAACAGGATGGGCAGCCGGGGCCAAGCTTTGAGGAGAGAAACCATCGGAGGCGACTGCTTTGCCATTTGCCAGACCAGATGTGTGGGCACGGGTCCGCGGAGGCATCACGTCAAAGTGCGTCTGAAGGAAACGAGGGCTGTGAAGTGTTGGGAAACCAGTCACCGAGGTCGACCGAATTGTCAATGGAGAAAAAAGGGTATCGACCTGAGTTGGCAGAGACAACAGCGCTGGTGTTGAAAACGTAAATTTCAAGAAACGCAGGCTCTGAAGACGAGAGTATCGACGAGAATGGAAGAAAATCCGGACAAAGGTAGGAGGGAGAAAATGTTGTGGAGATTTGGAGATCCGCGCAGGAAAGGTCGCGTGATACTTGCTCAGGGTCCATGATGAGGCGGGTATCGGCTGCTGTCTCGCCCTGCAATCATATTAGAGGAAGGCGCCAACGGTCGAAATCGAGGCTTGGAGGAGGGCATTGGCTGCTACCTCGCCCTGCAATTGTATAACGAGGAAGGCGCCAACGGTCGAAATCGAGGCTTGGGGGAGGGCATTGGCTGCTAGCTCGCCCTGTAATTGTGTTACGAGGAAGGTGCCAACGTTCGAAATCGAGGCTTGAAGGAGGGCATTGGCTGCTATCTCGCCCTGCATCGCTGGGTTTCAGACTGGCACCTGCCCTGAAATCAGTTACATTCAGTCAGTGAGAACTGCTTCCGTGTAGGAAAGCCCCATCGCTGAGAAATCGGGACTTGGAGGTAGGTAGACACGAAGGCAGGGAGGCAAGCGCCGCTTGGTGGGAAATGTCATACAGGGGAAAGAAGGTAGTCCAGCGAGAGAGGCACATCTTCTGTCAGAAGGAAACGAGTGCAAATAGAGCCGTCTCAATGCAATTCAGGCCCGGAACTGATAGATGTCGTGTCGGATTCGTAGTGATCTTGTTACTCGAGGGGTCGGATAGAAGAGAGGGGGTTTTGAAAACTGTAAACTAACACAGGACGGCGACAAGTAACCGTCGACGAAGACCCTCGTCCTGTGCGACACAAGGGTGCGAATGCCCGAGGGCAAACAGGTAAGCTCCGGAGTGATTTGCGATCCAAACATGTGCGAAGGATCGAGCCCTACCTCAGGCTTTTCTTGTCAGGTCCATCGCTTTTAAAGAGGGCGGGAAGAAGAAGGGCGGATTAGGTGAAGGATAAAAAAAGTCGAGAGAGACAGAGAAGGGAGCGGATTGGAAAAGAAGCCATGGTGTACTAAACAGCAGGCAGCGGCGCAGCCGCACCCCGCCAGGCAGTCACGCCTGTCATTGCCAGGAATTCATAGAACCTGTCCACATCATTCGAGATTGAGCGCAGTGTGAACGAAGACAGACCAGAAGCATTCAGTGTGTAATTCTCAATTCTCTCATACTACTATGGACGTGGTAACAATCTCGGGGTCCAATCCGTTATGCTCATTGTAAATCCGAAATTGGATATCAAACTGTTCAAACGCCATCGTGTCCATTCCTATTCGCCTGTGACCAAAGAGCTCTCGAGAGTGAGTGCTGCCATCGCCGACTTCTGTTCAAGTACGGAACTAGTGAAACTCCTCGGCATCAAGGTCGATTTCTTCGCCAAGCCGAACGGTCTGGTCGCGCGCGAGCTCATGCAAACCAGTTCGTTCGGTGCGGGTCAGGGCGGCTGCAGTTGGCTGACCTTCTTCACCCTGGATGGCCTGTTCGCGAGTCTTGCCCAGGAGAGTCCTCTTCTTTCCACTTTTGATCAAGTCAGTTCCGCCGTTTGCAAGTATGTCGTAGTCAATTTGTGGTTGACGTTCGAGACGAGCAGATGTCAAGGCGGGCCGATGTGTGCAATTGTACGCGTGGTGTTGTCCTCTGCAAGTGGTGCAGTCAGGTGAATTTCTGCATTGCGCCGTGTCATGTCCGGATTCGAAACAGACTTGGCATGTCTTGTTCCATCCTTTGCTTTCAGCCTTGCCTGTGATGCTTGTGGCGAAGACGGCGTTCTGGTGCTGGTGCCACTTGAACAAGACGGAAGATGTTAATTGGGTCGCGAATGCTTGGATGCCTTTCTGCCCTCGCCGTCCATTTCCCAATCACGCGTGCTAACGACGTAAATCGCTGCAAGTCGAGCTCTGGATGTCATGACAGCCACACGCTTCGAGTCGCCAGTGAACCCAAGCTTGCTTGAACGAACGTGTAAAGCGATGACAACATCTGCTTCGAAGCTCATGCTGGAGTCAATCGTACGAGCGCTCACTAAAGAACGAACAATATTCCGATCAGACTGCGTATCGAGAGCGGCATTGATGTCGTTGACCATCGCAGTATACGGTGCCACGATAAGAATCGATGCTCTGCCATTGCCGTGTAGTGAGGGGAGGTTTTGCGCAAAGATTCGACGGACAAGCTCCAGAGTGAAGTTGCTTGAAGCCAAGTTCGAAAAGCTGGTACCGATGGCACTCTCCACGCCTTCCTGAAGGTCAATGACCCAAGAGTTCGCAGTTGGAAGATCGCCCTCCTCGCATGGGGATACCATGTGGCAGAAGAGGGAGTTGAAGAACAAGATAAACTGCGGGACGAGAGCATGCTGTTCAACCGACAGGGGGATTACCATTTCCTTGTTGTAGACCACATTCTTGACAAACTGGGCAATCTGGCCATGATTACGGCGGTTGATGGTTAGCGGGAGCTCAGTGATGGCGGCCCAAGATGCTCGTGTGAGGATAGACATGCAATGCTGCCTGCCGAAAGTAGAGCGCCAAGATGAACCACGGGCTTGGCTATTCTTGCTTACGGGCCCAAACTGACGCGTGTCGCCAATGACCAGAGTGGGACAACCACCGAACGCAGCGATGGGGATCCAGAATGACGACTCGGTCATGCGTGCAGCCTCATCGACAACAAGAAAGCGGGCAGTGAGGTCGAATTTGTCGGCGATTTGGCCCAAGGATACCGGCGTACCTACGAGAACGTGGCATTGCGTAATGGCTTGACGCAGAATAGCAAAGCAACGTTCTTCGTACCGGTCGGCGTAGTTGCGCCATAGATGCGGCTGGTTGCGCTGTATGCTCGTCATGTGATTCCAATCCGGATCATTCGTGGCAATATCCATAGCCAAAGTGGAAAGACTATAGGGATCACGGCTGGCGACAGACTGTCCCTTCCGAAACTCGTCAAGAGTTTGCAACAGATCATGTTCAACAGGCATCATGGCACGACGATCGGGTTGGGCCTGCACTGGAGTGTTGGCATGAGTCAGTGCCCTGAGCTCGGCCTCAAGGGGATGCACATGGCAAACAATTTGTCCTGTTGCCTCCATGAGCTTGGGGACAATGTCGGTACAGAGCGCATGGCTTGGGGTGCACCAAACAATGGGCTTCACCGGTTTGTTCTGGTTTTCCTGGCAATTGTCGGCTGGGTTGTCGACGGCTTCGACATCTTCCTCCCGGTCAGGGGTCTGAGGATCGACGAGCACTGCCCAATGAGCGGAAGGATCTTGCCACTCATCGTGAGCCTCAGAGTGACTATCGGGCCGGAGAGGTTCATCAGGGGGCAGAGTGGTTCGCTGAGTGTCGTCGGCTGCAACCCCTTCGTCGGCGGGCTGAGTGTCGTCGGCTGAAGCCCATTCGTCGGCGGGCTGAGTGTCGTCGGCTGAAGCCCATTCGTCGGCTGCAACCCCTTCGCCAGTGGGCTGAGTGTTGTCGGCTGCAACCTCTTCGTTGGCGGGCTGAGTGTTGTCGGCTGCAACCCCTTCGTCGACGGGCTGAGCGTCGTCGGCTGCAACCCATTCGCCAGCGAACTGAGTGTCGTCGGCTGCGGCCCATTCGCCAGCGGGCTGAGTGTCGTCGGCTGCGGCCCATTCGCCAGCGGGCTGAGTGTCGTCGGCTACGGCCCATTCGTCAGCGGGCTGAGCGTCGTCGGCGAAACCTGACCAGGGGCGGCTGCGACTTGTTCGTCCTCTGCAGGCTGTTCCCACTGCATATCGACGCCATCGCCACCATCTTGCTGGTCCTGACCTGCGTCTTCGTTTGGGTACGCATCAGCGCCGGCAGCATCTGCATCCTCGGCGTCGCGCCGAGCCTGTCTCTTCTCTTCTCGAGCAGCTTCATCAATTGCAGCCTTGACTTGGATGTCGATGCACTGTTGCTCGTATTGCTCGTCAAGCTGTAAACCATCCGAGCTGATGAACTCCGCCGGAGTGGAAACCACAGGCGGTTGGGTGACGGCAGCCACAGGGGCCATTTGCTTCAGACGAGGCTCCTTATTGGGAGTCTTGCAGATGAGGCCAACCATTTGAACGCCCAATGCGGATTTGCCCGAGCCAGGGAAACCCTCAACGAACATCATAGCAGCGGGCAAACGATCTGCATTGGCAAAGGCCGGGCGTTGAAACTCGTCGAATGTGTCGAGGGAAAACCCAGGAAAGCCTTTCATCAGGTCGAAAACTTCTGTGTGCGTAGTCGTATCAAAGCTCTGGGTAAAGTTCCACTGTGCCATGGCGATAGCGTTGCTCTGGTCCATCTGTGCCATCCTTGAGATGGCCTTCATCTCGGCATCCACTGTGGCATCTCGAGGATAGGTCGATACCTTGACGCGGAGACGGTAGGGATCCCCATCGGCATGCATCAATCTGTGCCAATAAGTTTGCGTATCACCAAAAAGCTTTTTGGTGGGGATCTTCATTTGCAGAGGTGGCTTCTGTAAATCAGCCGGCCATCTTGGCTCGAGAGGGACGGAGACAACGAAAAAGAAGTCGTCGACGGCGCCAAGACCCTTGGGAGTTGGGATGCGTGTGCCGCGCCAAACCGGGCCAAACCTATCGAATTCATGTGATGGGAAATCGAGGCCAGACAACTCAACCTCTCCTTTGATGTGAGCAGTCCAAGCGTCCAAAGAAAGAGGTACGCCGTTCTCCATGGGTCGCAGCATACGTTTAGTAAGGGTGTATGCGAATACAAGACGAAGCAAGTCAGGGTCGGTGATACCAACACATGTGCTTGCAAAGTCCGCCGGAACGTTGCACACATAGCGGCAAATGGCTTCGCTTGAGTCTTCGTACCAAGTTTTCTTGGCAGATCTGACCTTCTCCTCTTCCCTGTTCATGGCCCTGTGTTCGGCTTCAGGGTTATCAAGCTCAAGTCTTGTGGCAATCTGACCTCTGAGAACTTGCATCCTGGTGTCAAAACGCCGTTGAATGGTTTCGAGGCGCTCGCGAAGCTGAAGCGCAAGCTGCCAAAACCGTGCATCCCAAGTCTTCGGCATCCTGTCTGATGGGTGCGTCG